TCAAGTTAGCATGATGGCAAAAATACATCGCGGGCTAACAGGAAATCTGCACGTACAAATTGGGGATCAGCAGAGAGGAGCCTAGTGACGCTAGCATTTCTCATGCGATGCACTGCTTCTCTGCGAAACTTCCGACTTGTGAAAAGCAAATCGACCATTTCCGGGGTCGCATCACGCTCGTAGCTTTTATAAGTGTCGGCCAAGCTGACTTTGAAGGCTTCGCATAAAGTTTCCAGACAAGTTTTCCAGTCTCTGACAGCATTTAGGCACAACTCGTTAGCTGGACCAGGCTTTGTGGTGTTCCCCGTAACCACTTCAGTAAGGCTGCGGCCGCTAAAAGAGCTTCTTTGATCAAATATAGTGGCCCCGGGGCTACGAGGAGAGTCAAACGAAGATTCTCGTCGAGTCGTTGTCTCAGTGGTAGTTGACATTGCCTTAGCCGGCCTTAATTCGTCCTGTAAAATGCCATAACAAAGCGTCGCGCAAGGTTCCCGGATTTTCTCAAACTCTCTATAAGCGGAATCGACATGGTTTGGGCCGGAAGGCGCCGAACGCATTCGCTGTATCAAGATCTGCAACTGCCTGTAGTTATTTTCTTGCATCTCGTGCATGGTGTGCATGGAACTTGAGTCCGATCGAAGATGTGATGACGAGTGAATGTGGTCAAATTCACTAGACCCGGGCTGTAGAAACAAATTAGTTAGCTTGCTCCGGCATTTTGGGCCTCCGCAGTCGCCTAACAGTGCTCGATTTATAATAAATGCATTGTTTCAATGCAGTCCGAAGAGCATCCACGTACCGTTCTTCCCTTGTCATCCTTGCCAAGTTTACTCTTCTTCGTTCGCAAAGGCCTTGGTAGCCGCCATTTTTTGGATGATCCTCCCGCGCTAGAAGCTGCGCCTTCGGTAGTTTTCCTATTCATGATGCCGAATCGTCCGAGATAACAGAGAGGCGTAGGAAAGCGAGAATTGTCTCTTCAACCGCTTCAATGGGCTTGCCGTGTCTTGCCGTTAAGCCACGGGATTCAAGGCTGTCTCGGCACCGAGACAGGCCTTAGCATTGTCTTATGTACGGCAGCCTATTTTAATTGATTTATAAGTCTTTGAGACACCCGCGGCTGAGAGAAAATCGACCGCGCGGGAAGATATATCTTGTTTTCGTTGCTGAGGGAAATAAAGGTTGGTGCTGATGTGATGTGGCCCCGTGGGCGATGGTCCGTCCTTTGCAACGGCTAACCTTGCATTGACAGAATAGCCATTAACGACGGTGGGTCAGCGCGAAGGTTGCCAAGTATTATTTCGAAAAGGGATGCAGGCACAGGCAGGTGACGAATTTCTCAACGAGCACGAGTTTGCGCCAACAGCGTTCAAGAAATAGCCCTGTGTGGGCGACGCAAGAACCTTCACCAGGATGCAGCGAGACCCGTCGCACCGTGCTTTGATGTGAGCGGGATGGTGGTTAGCGACAAGTTCGAGTCGCCGCTAGCAACGGCGCGCGCACCCACGGCAGCCGCGGATATGAACGGCAAAGCAGCCAGTCCTGAAGCCCAGACGTCCAAATTGCAGACCCAGCAGCAGACAGAGTTGCAACGCTGGGTGTCGTCGAGTGCGGAATGTCACAAATGTGGATGAATGTAGGATTGAGGGCTCAAGTGGGCAGCGGCAAGGTAAAAAGGTGGGCGGGTGTTGAGCGGAAGAGACAAGAGGAAGGAGCGCGTGGAGCGGGGAGGGAGAAGAAGTGGAGGGCGAGTTGGTGGAAAGTCTGGAGAGGAAGGATCGACGGGCGACAGCCGAAACAAGGCAGGACCACGATCAACTGCCAAAGCCAACCGTTTCTGGGACTAGTTCTGGGGCTGAGTCGGCCTCGCGAATACCCCATGCGGAGGATCGTGGTTCAGATTGTTCTTTGTGACACGACGCCTTTGCGAGATGCGGCTGAAAGAAGCCGTCTCAATCCAGCTTGTACGCGACCCAGGGTATCGAGTGTTTGTCTGGACGATTTCACAAGTCCTGGAGCGGAGCATGCGGCCTTCAAATACTCATGCGCCCACAGCCCGCCTGTTCGTGAACTTTGGTCAACGAGCTTTGCCATTGGCACGCGACTAGGCCCACAGCCGCTTGTCAGCCGTCGTCCGAAGGAGACATCGCAGATTGATGTCGCAGCCAGACAATTCTCAACCAGGGGGGTGTGTGGCGTTTTTTGAAATGCCTGCCTGAGGTCTGACGCTCCCTAACCCTAATTGACTGCGGCCTGGAGGACCAAGTCATACGAAAGGGTCGGCTTTAAAGCATCTGGATTCTGGGCGGACCCTGGGCTCTCGACAAGGCTTTCCATTGTTGACTGCTTCGCTTGCGCCGGCACTGCTCCTGTCAAGTTGGCATCGTCTCAACCAAGTCAAGGAAGGGTCTGGGACAAATGAAGGGTCCGACGCTAGTTGGTCTCACTCCACTCTGAAACTGCCGCTTGTGGTGTTCGACTGCGAATAGCTCAGCGTTTTGTGACCACGATTCGACCCACCTGGTGTCACTCACCGGACATAATCATTGTCTCCCTCTTTAGCAATACGGAACAATGAAGGAAACTCCCAGGACCAACCTGCAGCGAACTAGCTCTCCACAACTTCCGAGAAAGCTATCACTATGAGCTCCAGTGGCTATGCAACCTGGCAACTCCCCACTCCTGGCCTTCCTTCCGTTGGAATAGAAATACTAGTACCACGCTCAGGCAGACTGTCGGGCCTGGTATAGCTGCCTTGTATACGGATACGGGATACGGCAATCATTCCACAGTCTGTGGAACTAGAACTTTGAAAAGTCCTTCTCCTCTGACCTACTGCCCTTGCCTGCTGACCTCCAATCTGTCTGCAGGACGCCCCACGAACCAGAGATCTCTTGAGCCCCAAGGCCAGGTACCCGAGGACTGCACACACATTACCCTGCCATTCATGCCAATATCGTTACCAGAAAATGTGGGAAATCATTGAATACGTCACACAACACGTATGTACTATATTTGTCTGAGAAAAGAGATGCCCGCGCTGCCTGAGTCGATGACTGATGGAAACGCAACGTCGGCGTGGGACAAGAGGACCTTTGTGTCAGATGAGTTTGCCAACTTTCCCTCCTCCAGTTCGCCTCATCTTCATTGTATACTGCTGGCCAATGCTTATTTCGCACCATATCGCCACACCAAAGTGGGCATGTGTTTAAATGGCTGCCTAACATTCTGCAGACAACGGCACATGAACCACAACCAATCAATTCTATATGTGTTCGCATAATATTCGCAACGTCAGCGCCTGCAGCCGAAATATGCGACCAGCTGCATTGCCCTCTTCATTGAAGCCAACTTTGCTATACAAATCTAGACACAACTCTAGTCCAGGGACGCCCGTATGTTGTCAAGCTCTTCGTATATATTCCGCATTTCATCGCCAAAACCAACAGGAGATGTGCGATTTTGAGCCTGGAGTCTCACGGCAACGTGGTACAACTCTGCTCTGTACCTGTGGAGTTAGTACTTGGTAACTGGCTTGACCGACTCGTCTTCTCGGATCTCAACGGACCGAAAGTCTATCGACTGCGTTGAGCTGTCGTCAATACGAGCTACTCGTTGACGCTCGTGTCCTCTGTTCTGGTTGCAGGGGCGTGTCCTAATACCATAGCAGGGAATCTGGAACTGTCAGTCGTCAGACAACAGCCCCCTATCGGGAATCCTACCCATCTCCTACAAATGCCGTCCACCACCCCCTCTTCCGCATCTCAACCTCTAATGCCGCCAAATGGACACTGTCAACTAAGGCCTTGTCAAGCCTCATGTCCCTTGCTGCTTGGATAGCTGATACCATTACCACGGAGGCACGTCGTGGTCGCTGGTTGAGGCGAGCGCGAAAACATGGCTCATGGAGCAGCGGGACATGCCACTGCATCGCTTTAATTCAACCATAATCCACTACTTCCACAGGAGGAAGTTGATCACCCTATATACTTTATATGCTGCTCATGCTGGCGGTCCCTCGGCCGCGGTGCTCTTGACGACTAGGCAAAGAAGCCGGGTAGGCAGGATGACGCCTTGGCCTAGCTAGCCTTCTTTCTCCTGGCTGCAAACATGTACACAAAGTTATTATCAGCTGATTACCCATAAAGTAATGGCATCTGCTGATGGAAGCACCTGTTCCACTAATCGAAAAGTTGATCGATGCTGCACTTGCGTCACCAAGCTGAACCTGGGCCCAACGAGGACTGGGTGTAAATACCGGGCTTGGGGGTTATATCCTGTCAATCTGCTCGCCGTGTGCATGGTGCTGTGGAGGGGAGTAGTGGCCACGACGATGCCAAGATGTAGCTTGCAAGTTTGACCGTGTAAAGAGGAGATCCAGAAATCATCCGATAGTATATATCATGGCTGTAGCCTCAGCAGGCTGATATAAAAGTGCGTCCCGGGAATGTATCTGTCAAGACGCGAAGTCAGTGACCGCCTTGGACGCTTGCCACAGTGTGAGGCTATCCCCGTGCGACAACTACTCGCAACCTTTTTATCCTGGCCATCAAGTTTAAAGGTTGAAGGCTTGCGCTCACGGGCAGTACCTGCCCTCGAATGATGATGATCCAGCGAGTTGGGTGATGAGTAATTGCGTGGTATACTCGAAGAGCGGCAAAGCAGCTAATTTTACCGACTCTCGAGAAATGAGAAGGAATTGTGTGAAAGTTGATATTCGAAGATGATGCTAGGCTGATAACTTGCAAGCGCAAAGACAGCCGCATGACCTGGAGCCCCGTGCAGGTTCCTAGGTTCGTCGCAATTCACAAATACTATGAAAAGGAAATTGATCTGGTTCAACGAAACAGTAATCCATAAGTATATACCAAGAGAAATAATACAAAAATACCATCCGGCAACAAATACAATTAAAACATTCCACGATTAAGGAAGCACATTCTTTTCTTCATCCGTTGTCTGTTTTCCTATCCCGCGTCCTCCATTAGTCGGCAACCGACCAACTACTGCCTCACCATATGAAGCAAGAGTTCAAACCACGTAGGGTGCTCAAAAACATCTTCAATTCTGAGCCTGTAGCCCTGCCGTTGCATGTGAGCGGCCAATTGGCCGGCATTGTTGCCGTCGCCACCTAGTTCGAAAAACGACTCTGTAGATTCGTTGCCAGGCACGGTCCGCAGGCCGAGGACATCTTTCCACGCCGCGCCAAGAGCATTCCTCAACTTGGCAGGACAGCCACGCAGCGCCGCCATCTGCTCGTCCGTCGGCGGAGCCAAGGCGACGTCAGGGTCGGCCGGCAGGGGCAGCAAGGCCGGCAGGCTGCGAATGTCGCGCGGCGCCAGGAGTTTTGCGTCCATGGCCCTGTAGAACTGGATGATGGTGTCGGCCAGATCCGACGCGAGCCGCTGCGCCAGGCTGTGGGAGATGACATTGTCCGTAAAGGTAAGGTCGATATCGGTGCCGTCTGCGCCCGGCGTCGAGGTGATGTATACCTCGACACTGTCAATGTCGCCCGTCGACAGGTCGGCGCTGTCGAAATCGACCGAGGACTCTTCCGTCTGGCGGTCTTCGTAGTTCTGGTGTGTAATGACGGAGCTGAAAAAAGCCCATTTCGGCCAGCTTGTGCAGTTGTGAATGATGTCTCGGGAGCCCATTGTCTCAAATGGTATGCTTGCCGCTTGCTGGGCATTGACTGCAGCAATTAGGTCCCTGGCAGACCAATCTTGTTGGAAAACGACGCGGGCTGGGACAATGTTTACACAGGGGCCGAAGATGTCTTGCGTGCCTGGCTGGTTGCGACCGTGTACGAGGTTGCCGAATACAACGTCTTCGGTGGCTGAATATCTTGCGAGGACATACGACCACGCAGCCTTTAGGACGGTAGCAAAGGTAAAGTCCTCGGATTGCAGGCTGGATGCTGGGAGAGTCTTGACAATGTTCGGACCGAGTCCATACCCGAGACGGTGAGTCGTCTGATGTTTGATGGCTGTTCGAGTGCTTCCCTGGAGCATGGTCCGCCAGTACTCAGTCGCCTTTTCCTTATTGACGAGCGATAGAGTGTACATGTAGTGCGAAAAACTTGTTTTTGCGTCGCCTGGAGGAGCCGACTTGTATGCGGCTTCAAAGGCAGCCCACATCTTGGCGAGCGCCGTGCCGTCATACTGTGCATGGGATAGGCGTATTACAATACGATACTTTTGCTCTCGTGTCTGACGAATGACGCGAATCTTCGTGAGCGGTTTTCCGAACTGCAGATCGCAGAGCAAATCTTGCTTCTTCAACTCCAAAGTGTATCCATCCAAGCTACTCGTCGCGGTTTCAAACACACCAACATCTAAATCCAGATTCATTAGCACGGCTTGCAGGAATGAATCCTTGTATGCAATGAAGACGGTTCTCATCATGTCAAGACGTCTAATGAGACTAGCGCAAGCGTGCTGCATTCGGCCAAGGTCGAAATCGCCGTCATGATCTAGCGTGTGGTAGTACACAGCGCTACGGGCCGTTGTGTAAGTTGTAAGTAGATATCGGGCCTGCTGGTCGGTAACGGGCAGGATGTCCTGCACGCTATCTGTCGAGATGCCGTGTTCGACCAAGATCTGCTCGATTTCTGGTCGGCTCTCTGGCGGCAATAGCGAAAATCGGCGATACTCGAGTGCATGCGCAACCGACTTCCCGTCTAAACATTCCAGGCGGGAAGCCATCTGCGACAGTTTAGGGCCCATGAGAATGTCGGCAACAGCAAGGTGGAAACCTTGGCTCCGGGCTCGCTGGGCGAGTTTCATGGCCTGAATCGAGTCACCGCCAAGATGAAGGAAGCTATCATCCGCACTGATTTCTTCGGCATTGAGGTCAAGGACGTGAGCCCAAAGCTTCTGCAGGCACAGCTCCATAGGGGTAGACGGCGGCCGGCGTTCTGGCTGTGGCTCGGTCGAAGACATGAGCTCCAACAGAGTCAGTTTCGCCCCCATAGCGCGGAGCTGCTTGCGGTCCAGCTTCCCGGTGGCGGAAAGCGGCAGCTTGTCTACCATGATGTAGGCCGAAGGGATCATGTATCCAGGAACCTTGGACGCAAGGCGATCGTTGAGGCCCGCTGTCAGTGTGCGCATCTCCGACTCGAAATCTCCAAGTTGTCCGGATGACTGTATAAAAGCAGCTAGCATCGCATTTTCGCCATCTCGAGGCGTTATTACCTCCGCCGCAAGTTGGATTTTCGAAGTGGCGTTTAGGCTCGATGCAAGATTGTGTTCCACATCGCCAAGTTCCAAACGCTGGCCGTTGATCTTGACCTGGTCGTCCTTTCGACCGACGAATGTCAAACTACCATCGACATTGTACTGGACGAGATCACCAGTTTTGTATACGCGTCCTCTGCGACCTTGGTGGCCCGGTCCGCCACGGAGTAGCCAAGCTGGGCTTTCGACAAAGGCGTCTGCAGTTTTTGCGGCATCGCCAAGATAGCCCGATCCCACGAGCGGCCCTTCCAATACCAATTCTCCAACTGTCCCAACCGGTGAGAGTTTGTCGTGATTTGAAAGATCTACGACCCAAGTACACAAACCGACGCCGCGACCAATGCTAGCTGCTGAAGATGAGCAAGTCCCGTCGAGTTCGGCCAATGTGGCCTTTACTGTGCATTCTGCCGGACCGTACATATTAAGCACACGCGCATGCTTTGACCACTGGGAGGCTTGGTGGTTGGTAAGTGCCTCGCCAGCAAAAACAACGGTTTTGAGGCATCTCAAGTCTGATGGCCGTAGTGTACTGGCAACAGACGGCGTAATATCTATGAAGTTTGCATTGTAAGCCAGAATCGAGCCGGTAATATTGTCGAGAGCCTCTTGCTGTGAAGGTATACAAAGGCAGCCCCCAGCAGCCATGGTATGGATAAAATTTGACCAGCTAATGTCAAAAGCGTACTTGGCAAGGTCAAATACGCGGGAAGACTTGCTAAAGCCTGTAATAGCTTGTTGCTGGCGGATAGCACTACTCAAGTTAGAATGAGTGACGATGGCTCCCTTTGGAACACCAGTGCTACCTGATGTAAACACAAGGTAAAGTTTGTTCCAGGGCTCAACTTGAGGGAGCGTCTGCAGGGCAGGTTCGTCAAATTCCTCTTGGGATCCTTCGCCCAAGACCAATATCGGTTGATCGGTCAAGCCCTCCGCGAGCCTTTGGCTCGAAGAAGACGCCAGAACCAAGGACGGGCTGACTTGTTGCAATATACTGCGTAGTCGCTCCGAAGGCAATGTGGTATCTAAAGCGACCGATGCGCCTCCAGCCTTCATAACAGCTAGCATCGCTACAGGCATCCAGCGAGACTTCTCAAAGCAAAGAGGCACGATGACATCGGGACCGATGCCTAGACTAACCAGGCGGCGGGCGATGCGTGTGGCGATAGAGTCAAGTTGATGATATGTCCAGTTACCGTCCCACGCGCAGACTGCCGGAGAATCAGGATACTTAGAGACATTCTCGGCAATTAAGTCATGCACGGCGTAATTAGTAGTCTCGGGGACGACGGAATTCCAGTCCCAAATCTCCTTTAGCTCCTGGGGGCTGACCGTGTCAATATCGGAAATCTTGAGCTGAGCCATATCAGGGTCGCAAAGTTGGCGCAGAATCAGGTCAAATCGGGCCGCGAGCTTCTCTACCTCAGACTTCTTGATCACTTGAGAGTCGAATCTGAAGCGAAGCAGCGCGCCACTGTTCTCAAGGTCGCATTCAATCGTGATAGCATGGGTGTCAAATCCTGCAAAGGACTCATCGACAATTTCGTCTCCGTCCACGTCCTCTTCGTCTTCTGCGCCATCGAAGAGAAAGCTTGTGGATTTGCCGGGTTCCTCAATCGGGTGAATAAGCAGTAGTGTTTGAAAGTCGCAAGCTTGCTTGGCAGATGCGTTGACCCTTCGAATTCTCTGCAGACCTGTTTGTTCGAATGCCGTCATGTCAATGACTTGGGCTTGCACTTGCTGCAAAAGCTGCTTGACGGTGCATTCTCTGTCAACGGCCACCCGAATTGGCACGGTAGCAATTGTCGGGCCCGTCATGTTTTCAATTCCAGGTACTGGAGCCTGTCGACCAGTGACTGTCGCACCGAAGAGTGAATCGGAAGAGTCGGAGTGCGACGCAATAAGGATTGATAGTGCGGCGCGAACAGCAGTCGATGCGGTTGTATCTGTCTTTGGCCACGCCAGATCTTTGATTCGGTGCGAAATACCAGCGTCTGAGCGTGGCTGGTATACTGGCGAAGGCAGTGATGGGAATGCTTGAGCCTGGATTTGGTCAAACTGCGACGTCCAAAACCCTTCAACATCGCCGTCATCGACACCACCAATAAACTTGACAAAGTCCTGGAACGGCGGCGGCGGTTGTAGAACTGTTCCATTATATGCCATCTCTAGTCTCTCAAAGACCAGTGGCATTGACCACCCGTCATACAAGGCATGGTGTACAGTCCAAATAAAGCAACGGCGGTCATGAGAGTCTTTGGTGATAGCATACCGCATGAGAGGTGTACCCAGGCCCATACCCAGCTTCCTATCTGCTTCTTGGTAGAGAATAGTGCTGGTAGGTTCTGGCCACATTTTCGGTTCTTCTGCGATAATAACTTGAACTAGACCTTGAGTGTGAAGATCGACAATTCGTGTTCGAAGAATTGGCGTTGTTGCAATGACGTGCTCCCAGGCACGCTGAAAACGAGAGATACTGATATCCGGCTTGAGCTCGAAGATATTTTGAGCCACATAGTCACCGGAGCGTCTCAAGGTAAGAGCCAAAAGGCCTTCCTGTAAGGGTGTGCAGGGGAATGCGTCTTCAACAAGCGATGCGCTGACGTCGCAGAGCTGGGCAATCTGGGCTTGCCACTCTAGCGCGTCTCGCTTGCTTGAAAGCAAAGAAAATGGCAGCAAGGCTTCATGTTCATTGCCGAATGAGTTGCGAATAGTTTTAGCGAGGTCACTCAGGCACGGGTGGCGGAAGATGTCGGTGACGGTCATGGAAAGGCCAGTATCTCGCGCCAAACCAGCAAGTTTCATGGCGCCAATCGAATCTCCTCCAATTCGCAAGAAGCTGTCTTCGGAGCTAATTATCTCCCGTGGAATCCCAAGCACAGTGGACCAAAGTCCTTGAAGCTGAATCTCCTTTGGCGTCGTTGGCGCTCGTCTTGTCGCCTGGGTTGGGCCATGGGCCATGAGCTCGACTCTTGTCAGTTTCTCAGCCATGGCGCGGAGTTTTCGTCTATCCGTCTTTCCCGAAGCCGTCATTGGGATGCTCTCGAGCAGCATGTATGCAGAGGGTATCATGTATGCAGGCACCTGCGCGGCGAGTCTGTCAGCCAGACCAGCGATAATCTTGTCCAAGTCTGCAGATGTTTCCTCTACGCCCAAGAAAGCAACTAGAGCACATCTTTCGCTGTCTTGAGGCTTGACCACGTCCACAACCACTCGAACGTCGCCTCCATAAGTAATATTTGAGCTGATATAGTATTCGACATCACCCAGCTCTAGACGTTGACCGTTAATTTTGATTTGGCTATCTTTACGGCCAATGAATGTTAGGCTGCCGTTAGGCTGGTAACGCACAAGATCGCCAGTCCTGTACAGGCGTCCCTTCCGTCCGGGATGGGTTGCTGAGCCACGAAGCAGCCAAGACGGGTTTTCAATGAAAGATGCAGCTGTACGCTCGGCATCATCGAGATAGCCAGGACCAACTAGCGGGCCTTCGAGGAACAGCTCACCAGTGCTTCCCACAGGGGCAAGAGAATCACCCGTGGTGCTCACGACCCACGTATTGACACCAAAACCACGACCAATGCTAGCCACTTGAACATTGTCTGGGTCAATAGTTGCCACGGTCGTTGTTGGTGTGCACTCGCAGGGTCCGTATGAGTTCTTGACATTTGCCATACTGGCCCAATGCTTGGCCAGTTCGGGCGAAAGCACTTCGCCACCAAGAATCAGCGTATCTAATCGCTTTATCGCGCTTGCCGGCAGAAGCTGAGCAGCTGAGGGAGTCATTTCCGCGTGGGAGACCTGGAATCTCTCTAACGAGCCGGCTAGATCGTTCTGACGCTCTGAGTTTGATGGGATACAAAGGCATGCACCGCATTCGAGAGCACTAAGCACGTTTTGCCAAGACACGTCAAATGTATACGATGCAAAGTCATAGACTCGAGCACCAGCCTTGAAGTTATGTGCGCCGCGTTGATGGCGGAGGGAACTGGCAAAGTTTGAGTGATTAATAGTAACGCCCTTTGGAGTTCCAGTACTGCCAGAGGTGAACACAACATATAGCGTGTTGGAAGGCGTCACATCGGAAAGGATCATAGCTGGATTGGGACGCGTTTCCAGACGAGCCACATTCGCCTCGTCAACTGTGAAGACGAGGCCTGTAGTGAGGCGACTCACGAGATCCTGGCTGGTTGATGAAGTAAGGATAATCGTTGGCTTGACCTGCTGCATGATGATGCGCAGACGCTCCTCAGGGAGGGAGGTGTCCAACGCCACGCTTGAGCCACCGGCTTTCATAACTGCAAGCATTGCTATAGGTGTCCAGCGAGTCTTTTCAAAGCAGAGCGGAACCATGTGCTCAGGACCGACGCCGAGTTTTACTAATTCGTAAGCGAGGTTTGTGGAAAGGGTATCCAACTGCTGGTAAGTCCAATCGCCATCCCAGGCACAGATGGCCGGGGCGTTGGGGAATTTACGCGCTGTGTCGGATATTAAATCGTGTACCAAGGCTTCCACCTTCTCGGGAAGAACAGAGTTCCACTTCCATATCTGCTCAAGATCTTCTTCGCTAACCATGTCAATAGAAGCGAGGGTGGCTGACGCTGTCTTTTCATTAACAATTGACATGGTGATGACCCTCAAGAGCGAAATGACACGCTCGGCCTGTTCGTTTGTCAGGCAAGACAAGCGGTAGTCGAGTGAAAATGCCACTTGGGACTTGCCATAGCTGATGTCGAAGGAAATGTCGTACTGCGTATCGTGATGAGCACTAAGTTTTGGACCTTCAATTTGGCAAGACTACAAACTTACCTCAGTAGGATCCTCGTGATCCATGTCAACAAAAACCAAATCTGCGACAGCGACGTCGTCTGCGGCGTCTGCATCGTCCTTTTGAAAAGAAACAATAGTATTAAATAATGGGTATCCGGGAGAGAGCCGAAGGTCATGCTGTATATCAGCAAGAGAGCAGTGCTGAAAGTCAAGATCTTCTAGGACTTGATCGTGAAGACGCTTAACAAACTGCCGCGGAGTCCAATGGCGCGACACATCAGTGCGGCAAATCATCATATTAGCGTAAGCGTTGACAGACTCTGCGATACCATCAATAGGTAGATCACGGCCAGAGGCAATGTATCCAAAGCACACAGAACTATTGCTAGTGTAAGTTGATAGCAATATCGCCCAGGCACTTTGGAATATGCTCGCAGGGGTAACAGATTCGGATTCACAGAAGCGCTGTATGCGTGTAAAGTCGTTGCCGTCGAGATCAGTACTAACCATAGCGATGGAGTTTCCAGGAGAAGGCGCGTCAGAGAGAATAGGAAAGTGACATGGCTCCAGGCCGGCTAGCTTTTTGCTCCAATATGCCATCTTGTTGGCCAGAGAACTGGACTTGAGAGCCCGGACAAAGTTGCGGTTCGTCTCCGCTAAAGTTTCTGTGCCCAAGATTCCGCTATATGCCATTGACCAGTCATTTAACATTATGGTGGTAGATGCACCATCAACGATTGTGTGGCTCATTTCAATCTGGCAGATGATTGTGTTGGCATCCCTAGCCGTGCAGAGAACTAGACGGTGAGCTGGTTTGAGCCGCTGGTAGTCAACCGAAGGTAATTTCCGAATCATATTCACAGCCGCTGTCCTGTTTTCGGCCTCACATATTATTATCTCTCCTTGGTATGTCTCGAGTACGGCCTGAACAAAGGCTGTCTTCTTGTCGACACCTTCGATAAAAACACTGCGGAGGGCTGGGTGGCGCGCGACAACGGCTTGCCACGCCTTGGCCAGTACGTCAATGTTAAGCAGCTGCAGGCTATTGTGGTGTTTCAACTCATACGTGAGCAACGTCTTGTAAGCTTCCGGGTCCTTTATCTGACTAAGTAGCATGCCATCAACCATCGGCGAGCAAGGATAGATGTCGGTGACGGTAGTGCCTGTTTCAGACTGTAGGGCAGGAAGAATACGATTCTGCAGCTCATCGAGGCCCTTGTAGTCTAGATTCAAGAATTCGTAGTCCGAAATAGTGAGCGAGGGCTGGCAGGCCAATAGGGAGTTGCAAAGAGCCTGCATGGAGGGAGCAACCTGCGCGATCCAGTCTCGGATGAGATCCTGGTGGCTGATGTATCGGTTCCAAGAGAAAGTAAATTTGGTTAAGCCACCTTCAATGGACGCATTGATGCTGAAGAGTGCAGAGGCAGGAAGATCATTGCCGACGTCGAAAATATCGAATGCGACATTCTCAAACAAGGACTCGTCGGATTCCAACTGCTGAAACTGACCATGGTAGTTAAAAAGCACTTCCATGACACAATCATGAGACTCAAAGGCCTTGATACCCTCATCATTGAGATAGCGCGAGGTGAAGTAGGCCCAGCCATTTGAGGGTAATTGCCTTCTAATATCCTTGACGACTCTCGCACTGTTGTTCCTCGTGTGATCACGCGATACGTGCATCGGAGTCATTGTGGTGAACCAACCAACAGTTCGGGATAGATCGATTTCAGCCCCCCATGGCTCTCGGCCGTGACCTTCATTAAAGATTGTGAGGCCATTACGCATTTTAAAGGTCTTAAAGAATGCATCCCAAACCGACGCCAGAATGATATCAACTGGCTCGGTATTGAATGCCTTATTAGCTTCTTTAAGCAAAATCGCAGTTGTCGCACAGTCGACCTCGAAGGATTCCTCGATATGGTCATCGAAGGTATTGGGGGTGGTTGGAGTGTAGTTCCAGAACTCGAGCTCATTGTGAACCTCGCTGGACAAGACCCTCTCAGGCGCAAAGTTTGGCGACTGAGCTTCTTGTTTCTGAAGACTATGCCAGACTTGGAAGGGTAGCTCTTCGAGGACCGTACCACCGTTGAGAAGGGACTCTAAATCCTCTAATATGATACGCCAGGACACCAAGTCGACAACTAAATGATGAGCAATGAGTGCGAGGTATTGCTCGCTGGATGGGAGAGTGAACAAGTCAGCGGCAAAGACCAACCCACGCTCAATATCCAGCTCTTGGTGGCGCTGAGATATTATTGACTGGGCTGCGGGAAGGGTGTCGGCCTGCAAAGATGCAAAATGATAAAGTGCATCGCTTGGCTTTGGGATCAATTGCGTCCAGGAACCCTTCGTTTCATCCAGGTGAAATCGTGCTCTTAACATAGAGTGCTCCTGAACAATCTTGCGAAGAGCAAGGGAGACTCCATCTGGGGACACCGGGCGCTTAATTTGAACATAAAAGGCCTGGTTACAGTAATAGCTTGTGGTGTTTACCTTGTCTGGCGGGGACTGGGCAAAGAACCACTGCTGTATTGGTGAGAGGCTGAAAGGCTTGTCAAAGTCTTCCTCTCGGGATAGAGACGGACCCTTGGCAACAGTTGCAGACTCGGCGACATCGACGAGTTTTTTACTCCTGAGTAGTGACGCAACAGACACTAGAATACCAGAGGCGCGGCAATACGGGCTAATACGCATTGCAGATATAGAGTCACCTCCGTTGGCGATAAAGGATCGCTGCATATTGATATGGTTGGCAGGAATGTTTAGAACGTGACTGCATGCGTCTTGAATCACCCTCTCTGTCGCGGTGACTGGACTGCTGGCTGACGATATGGCGTTCGAAATTCTGGCAGACATCTCCGCATCAAGGTTAGAAAGCCAGTTGTCAACCAACTTGCGGTCCAGCTTGCCGGAATGGTCGACAGGAATGTTCTTCAGTGCTACCCAGACTTCTGGAACCATGTACACAGGAATTGAGTTGTCTAGCAAAGCCTGTAGAGACGAAATATTGTCTTGTACCTCTTCGGCCTTGTCTCTTGCCATGAGATGCAGTTCAGCATTATCGGCATTGCTATCGCTCTCATAGCTCCCATCGAGACTAAAGACACCGACAAGTTTATCGGCAAAGGGTCCAGACTTCGGGACCAGGCAAGCAGCTTGACGTATCGAGGGCAGGCGCACCATGTGATTCTCAATGTCTTCTAGCTCCACGTGTTGACCGTGGATCTTAACCTGGGCCTCCTTGCGGGCAATAAAGGTCAAGGAGCCATCCTTATTATAACGGACTAGATCACCGGTCCTGAATAGTTGGCCTGTGCGGCCTGGGTATTTTGGATCGCCACTACCACGTTTAAGCCATTGTGGGTTGTGAATGAGGGCTGCTGCTGTTGTTTCGGTATCGCCTAGGTAGCCAGCGCCAACCAATGGTCCTTCCAGCACAAGCTCCCCGATGCTGCCAATGGGCACAAGGGTTGTACCATCTCGTGTATCAGTAATCCATGTGTTCATACCGACGCCTCTGCCAATTCTGGGCTCATCAGCATCCTCCGGGCGAACACTGCCCACGGTAGCTATTGGGGTGCATTCGCAACAGCCGTACGTAAACCTTAGGTCTACTAGCGGAGCCCAGCGCTTGGCTATATCTGGTGAAAGACGTTCGCCGCATAATACTAACGTCTCCAGTGACTGGACAGTGCTATCCAAAAGCATGGCAGCGGCTGACGGGGTAATGTTCATGATGGTGGGTTGCCAGCGGGATATCGAATCCGCGAGGGCGCCTTTATGTTCAGACTCTGAAGGAACACAAAGGCAACCGCCGATGGTAAATACGTGCGTGAAAATTTCCCAGGTTATATGAAAGCTATATGGCATGAAATCGTAGACCCTCGAGTTAGGCTTGTATCCCAGAGCATCTTGCTGGTACTTCACAGCGCTGCTAAGGTTGGCATGTGTCAAAATTGCGACCTTTGACGGGCCAGAACTTCCAGAGGAAAGCACTAGACACGCCATATTTGATGGCTGGACAACGGGGAGAGGAACAGCAGCTGCTTTGGCCAATATTTCGAGAAGATCGTTATTAACAACGAGAATAGGCCGATCTGTAAGCTTGGCTGCGAACAGTGCAGTTGAACTCGACGAAAGTAGCAGCACTGGCTTTGATTGCTGCATGATGGTGCGAAGAATGTTTTCCGACTGAGACGAATCCATCATAATTGAAGCTCCGCCGAGTTTCATGACCGCCAACATAGCCACCGACGTCCAGCGCGACTTTTCAACATATATAGCGACGACAGCATTAGGTCCGACACCAAGGGCTGCGAGATGATAAGCTAGTTGCGTGGCATTGTGCTCCAGCTGGCCATATGTCCAGTTACCATCCCATGCATTAACAGCATACGCTTCAGGTTGTCTTTGTGCCGTTGTTCTGATCAGATTATGAAGACATGAATCCGCAGCCTCAGGCACGATTGAGTTCCATTGCCAGATATCTTTCAGGTCATCCTCGCTGACCAGGTTGATGCTGCGTAGTGTACTCTCATCGCTCTGGGGAATGTCGTCACCAATCAGGTTGGTGACGGCAGTCTTAAACAGCGACACGATGCGGTGGGCCTGCTCATTGCTGAATCGCGATGGCAGGCAATTGATGAATAGCTTCGCAAGCTTAGCACCGACGGTTATGCTGATTGCAACATCGTATTCTGTAGGGTCATCTCCATCTTCATCGATAAAGTCTAGTTCTTGGCTAATGGGTCCTTCTTGAACTTCATCAACATCTTTCTGGAAAGACATGATTGTATTGAACAGCTGCTGTCCAGAAATAATGCCCAAATCATGTTGGATATCAGCCAGAGAGCAGTGTTGGTATCCCATATCTTCTAGAACCTGGTGGTGGAGATATTGAACGAAACGTTGTTTGCTCCAGTCAGGTGAGATGTCTGCGCGGCAAACCATCATGTTGGCGTATGCGCCTATAGCTTCCCCGATATCCGGGACAGGTAGGTCTCTGCCTGAAGCAATATAACCAAAGCAAACACTATGTGTCCCAGTATATGACGTCAATGTGAGTGCCCAGGCTGCGTGGAATAAACTGGCCGGGGTGATTGAGTGAGACTCGCAGAACTTTTGCATAGCAGCAAATTCTTCGCCGCTTATCTCTACCACTGACCAGGATACCACTTCTGAGGGTTCGGAAATCTTATCCAGATGGGGAAATAGACAGGACTGAAGGCCGGCCAGCTTCTTCTTCCAATAAGACCTCTTGCTTTCCGAAATACTAGAAGTTAAGGCTCGTGCGAATCCTCGACTCGTTTCGATTAGGTCATCTTTGCCCAAGACGCCCTTGTAGGCCTTTGCCCAATCTTCGATGAGGATCCCGGTGGATGCGCCATCAGTAATAGTGTGGCTCATCTCGATTTGACAAAGCAGACTATTCGTGTCGTGGACTTGGCAGAGAGAAACGCGATGAGGGGGCTTGAGCTTGTGGTACTTGACCTTGGGAAGGTTTTGCATCAGCGCTCGCGCTGAATCGAGGTCATCACTCTCCAGCAGGACAACATCACCGCGAATCTCTTTAAGGACAACTTGATTAAAAGCCATATCAGGATCCAGGCTCTCAATAAAGATACTTCGCAGAGATGGATGACGGGCAATCACGTCTTTCCAGGCCGTAGAAAGCTGCCGTATATTAATGACATGAGAGCCACGCGGTTTGATCTCATACAGCTGAGATGTTTCGTAGAACCCGACGTCTTTCAATTGGCTCAGTAAAATACCTTCCACCATTGGAGAGCAAGGATAAATATCCTCTACTTCCGTGCCGTTGAGGCTTTCGATTTCTGGAATGATCCGGTTCTGGAGGCCATCCAAGGCGGTGTAGTCCAGGCTCAGAAACTCATAATCAACGAGCGTCCGTTCATTAGACCTACCTATAAGGCTCTCACAGATGGCCCCCAAAGAAGGCCCTATCTGGTCAATCCATTCGTGGATGAGGCCCTGGTTTGAGATGTGACGATTCCAAGCAAATGAAACATGAGTCTGTCCGCCCTCAATAGACATGTTGATGTTAAATAGGGAGGAAGCGGGTAGATTTGGCCCCACGTCAGAGACGTCGTCAAGGGCTATGCTGTCGAACAAGGAGTGATCCCGTTCGAGCTGTTGGAACTGACCATGGTAGTTGAAAACCATCTCCATGACAGAATCGTGGGGACCGAAAACCTCAACACCCTTGATGTTGAGGTGCCTAGAAACAAAATAGGCCCATCCGTTGGCGGGCAGTTTCCGTCTTGCATCCTTGATGAGTCTTACAATGTTGACGGGATTGTTACCGATGCTTCGTAACACATGTATTGGGCTCATCGTGGTAAACCAACCAACTGTTCGAGATAGGTCAATTTCAGCATTCCAGGGCTCACGGCCGTGGCCTTCATTGAACAGTGTGAGGCCATCTCGTGACGGGAAGGTGCGAAAGAATGCATCCCACACTGCTGATAAGAGCAAGTCGACGGGATCGGTATTAAAAGCGTTATTCGCTTCCTTTAACGTGAGTGAAGTGATGTGCCGATCAATTATAAATGTCTTGTCAGTATGGTCTTGTGTTGCATTCGGAGTGTCTGATGTAAAATTCCAGAAGGCCAAATCGTTGCTGATGCCCCTGGTGGATAAAACGTTGTCTGGGTCATATCTAGAGCTCTTGGCCTCTTGGTATTGAAGGTCGTTCCAGATTTGGAATGGGAGGCTTTCTAACAAGGTTCCGCCAGTGAGAAGAGTCTCGAGGTCTTCCAAGATTATTCTCCAAGAGACAAGGTCAACAACCAAGTGATGTGCAATGAGAACCAGGTATTGATCTCCAGCATCAAGTTCGCAAAGATCAGCAGAAAACACGAGACCACGTTCAAAGTTCAAACTCTGTTGACGCTGAGCTGCAAGAGATTGCATCTCGCTCATGGATTTTAGCTTGATAGCCTCAAAGTGGTAGACGGCCTCGGTGGCTTGTGGGATGCTCTGGGTCCAGACATCGTCTCGCTTCTGGAAGCGGGCACGAAGCATCGAGTGTAACTCCACAACTTTGGAAATAGCGACTCCAACTTCCTTTACGTTGACTGCTTGGTTGATCCGGACGTAGAATGATTGGTTGCAATAATGGCCTGCTTTGTCAACAAGATAATCGGGCGACTGATTGAAGAACCATTGCTGGATTGGCGATAAATGGAACGGTTTGTCAAAGTCTTCGGTCCGAGGGAGTATTAGACTTGTCACTGCTGAGGAGAGCTTAGCAACCTCAGCCAAAGACCTAGCCTTTAACAAGGTAGCGACCGAGAAGACGACATTGTTAGAACGGCAGTGTGGGCTCAGCCGCATCGCCGAAATAGAGTCACCGCCATTAGTTACAAAGGAGCGCTGAAGATTAATCTCAGAGGCTGGTACGTTTAAAATTAGGCTACACGCATCTCGAAGAACGCGTTCCGCCTCGGTTTCTGGTTCGCGGCAAACCAAACTGTTATCAATGCTAGAAAGCTTGGCATACGTCTCCTGATCCATCTCAGTGAGCCAATTTTCAACCTGCTTACGATTGAGCTTGCCGGAAGGGTTGAGTGGAATTTCCTTGAGCGCGATCCACCGGGTAGGAATCATGTAGGAAGGAAGCGAGGTTTCGAGGATGCTTTGCATGGTTGCAATGTAGTCCTGGATGGCGATGGTAGAATCCTCGAGAACAATATCCGTGCTTGGCATTGATGACGGGGTAGCCGAATCTTCTATCGAACTCCAACTGCTGCTCGTTGAGTCTGTATCGGGCGATGTTGAGCTAGAAACGCTGGCGAGAGACGGCGTCTGTTGACCCGAGGTGGCATCGACTTCGTCAAAGCTTTGCTGGATTTTTTGGATGCTAAAGACGCTGACAAGAGTGTTTGCCCAAAACCCAGTCTTGGGAAGCAGACAGGCCGATTGCCTTGTAAGATGATGGCGCAAAATATGATTTTCGATATCGCCTAATTCGACGCGCTGACCGTGGATCTTCACCTGAGCATCCTTACGACCGATAAATGTCAGGGTGCCATCCTCATTATAGCAGACCAAGTCACCAGTTTTATACAAGCGGCCCTCACGACCAGCATGTTCCGGAGCTCCTCGAGTAAGCCAAGGCGGGTTGTTGATAAAGACAGAGGCAGTTTTTTCAGGATCTCCTAAATACCCGGGCCCGACGAGTGGTCCCTCGAGCATCAACTCGCCAACGCTTCCTACCGGCACTAAAGAATCGCCAGTTGTCGTGTCCACGACCCATGTGTTAACACCTCTGCCTCTACCGATGCTTGCTCCGTTGAAATCGACAGGGTCGACATCTGCGACGGTAGAGGTCGGAGTGCATTCACTAGGGCCGTATGAATTCTTTACGGTAACCAGCGATGCCCATCTTTTAGCGTACTCTTCTTGAAGTCTCTCGCCGCCAAGCACCAAGGTATCCAGATTCTTGAGCGTTGACAGAGGCAGCACCATGGCAGCAGAAGGTGTGAGCTCACTATGAGTAATTCCAAAGCGTTCGATAGAACCAGCTAGGTCATCGCGCCGCTCGGCTTCTGACGGAATGCACAAACATCCACCACAGTCAAACGTGGCAAGCATATTCTGCCAAGATGTATCGAAGGCACATGATGCGAAGTCATAGACCCGCGGATTCGCTATGCTGTCAAAGTTATGAGCACTATGCTGGTGCAGCATAGCACTGCTAAAGTTGGAATGCGTGATGCGCACGCCTTTGGGTGTGCCAGTACTGCCGGAGGTAAAAACAATGTAAAGCGTGTTGGAAGGCTGCACCTTTGGCAGGGGCTCCAATGCCGGCGTGTCTGGAGAAAGAAATAACTTCTCATCAATGACGAGCACTGGCTTACCGGTCGACAACTGCGTAGCCAGGCCCTTTTTTGCCAAGGATGAAAGGATTAGTGTTGGCTTGACTTGCCGCACAATGCTGGCGAGGCGATCCTCGGGTAAGTTCGAATCCATGGTCACACAAACCCCTCCAGCCTTCATGACACCAAGAATCGCAATAGGACTCCATCTTGATTTTTCGAAGCACAGAGGAATAATGACTTCGGGGCCCACCCCAAGATGTCGGAGGTAATGAGCTAAGCGCGACGATAGATCGTCTAGTTGTCCGTAATTCCAGTCACCATCCCACGCACAAATTGCAGGAGCTGCAGGTTGTTTCTGGCACATGGCCATGACTATTTCGTGAACCGGGGTCTTCACGGTCTCCGGCACAGTAGCATTCCACCCCCAAATGTCTTTGAGGTCTTCCTTGCTAACCGTCTCAATATCTGTGAGCCGCATCTTTCCTTGTTCTGGGTCGCACAACTGTCGCAGGACGTGCTCAATCTGGCCAGCCAGTTTTTCGATTTGACGTTTACTCATAATGCTGTTATCAAACTCAAACCTCAAAGTCATGCCGTGGTGTGCCAAGTCACATTCAATGGTAAGGGCATGTGTGTCGAATTGGGCGAGTTGATTCTCCTCATCATCATCATCATTGTCTTGGTCTTTGCAAGCAAAAATCTCGGTTTCGAGCTGCACAGCCTCTTCGGGGGGATGTATCAGCAAAAGCGTCTGAAAGTTACAGGCCTGTTTGGCCTTGACGCCAATTTGGCGGATTCTCTGCAGGCCTGTCTGTTCAAACGCAGCCATTTCTACCAATTGCTCCTGAATCTGGCAGAGGCATGATTCAACCGTCTGCTCCCAATCAAAGGCCACTCGGACAGGCACGGTTGCGAGAGTAGGGCCTGTCATTTCGTCTACTTCATGCACAGCGGCATGCCGACCGTTCACTGTGACGCCAAAGACCACATCATTAGAGTTTGTGTATCTGGCAGCTAGGATGGACCACGCTGTGCGGATGGCAGTGGACGCGGTGATATCGGTCTTGGGCCAGTGTAGGGAATCGATATAATGGGTGGTGGACGAATTTGCAGTTGGCTGATACGTGGGTGATGGTAGCACAGGAAATACCTGTGCCTCCGATTCTTCAAACTGCGCTTGCCAGAACTGCTTGGCAAGCTCCTCGTCGATATTAATAATGTGTTTAACAAAACGCTGGAATGGAGGAGCCTGCCGGAGAACCACGTCCCCCTTGTAAGCCTGCTCTAACCTCTCCATGATACGTGGCATGGACCATCCATCGTAGAGCGCGTGATGTACGGTCCATACAAAGACGAAACGCTGGTGGCAATCAGGTACATCGGTGACAGCGTATCGGACAAGACGCTTGCCCATACCCATGACAAGTTTCTGATCTGCTTGCTGATACTCGCTCACGCTTGAGCACTCAGACCAACTCGCATTTTCCTTAAGCACAACCTGTACTAGGCCTTGGCCCGGGAGGTCAACGATTCGGGTGCGCAGAATAGGAGTCATCTGTAGCACAGCTTCCCAAGCTCTTTTGAAACGACTGACATCGGTCGTCTTTTGTAGAGGCAGCACATACTGAGCAACGTAATCACCAGCTCTCTTAGCTGTCAATGCAAGAAGCCCTTCTTGTAGTGGGGTGCAGGGAAAGATGTCTTCGATTGAGCTGATGTCAATCTGGCACAATTTGGCAACCTGGTCCCGAGCCGCCTCAGAATCAGTACCGGATTTCAACAGCGAGAATGGCTGGATGATCTCGCAGTCAGCACGAGAGACCTGCCTAACAACCTTTGCCAGATCGCATAGCTTAGGCTGCTTGAAGATATTGGTGACGGTAAGTGCAAGTCCCTCCTCCCGAGCGATGCCTACCAACTTCATAGCTCCGATAGAATCACCTCCAATCCGAAGAAAGCTATCATCCGCGCTGATAGAGTCCTCCCTAACACCAAGCACGGAGGCCCACAGACTTTGCAAACGTCTCTCCATGGTACTTGTGGGACGTTTATACTCTCCGCTTTTATAGTTGAGCGCCATGATTTCTTCGAATGTCAACTGCTGGCCAATTTCGCGTAGTCGTCGACGGTCAGTCTTGCCGGTTGCCGTCATGGGAGCCTCATCCAGTAATAGGTAAGCGGACGGTATCATATAACTAGGAATTTGTGTAGAGAGTCTCTCGTTCAGGCCAGCTGTAATCTTGCCAGTCTGCTTGGCGCGTTGCGAAGTAGTCATTGCTGGCCCGTCCTCGACATGAATAAATGCCATGAGTATGGATTTGTCGCTTTGCTGAGGCTTGATAACTTCAGCAAAGACCCGGACCGGCGCGTGGTAGGCGATATTATTGCAGACGTGGTGCTCAACATCGCCAAGTTCTAATCGCTGGCCATTAATTTTAACCTGAGCATCCTTGCGGCCTATAAAGGTCATGCTTCCGTCAATATTATATCGCACCAAGTCCCCTGTCTTATATAGCCGCCCTCTGCGCCCCCGCGCTCCGTCAACGAGCCAAGCCGGGTTTTCGATAAAGGCGTCTTGGGTTTTTGCAGCATCATCCAGGTACCCTGCGCCGACAAGAGGCCCTTCAAGTAGAAGTTCACCAACGACGCCAATTGGCACAAGCATGTTATGGTTAGTGGGATGCACAACCCAGGTGCACATGCCAAATCCTGAGCCTATGCTAGCAGCAGACGCATCAGCTTTGCCCACCATAGCGAAGGTTGCCTTAACACTGCACTCTGCAGGACCATAGGTGTTTAAGACAGTCGCCTGTTCAGCCCACTGTGCAGCAAGATGGGTTGTCAATGCCTCACCACTAAAAAGCAAGTGATCCAGAGTGGTGAGATCGGCTGGGCGCAGAGTGCTTGCGACGGATGGTGTTAAATCGGCAAAATTTGCTCTATATGATATCAAGGAGCCAGTGATATTATTAGAAGTCTCGTATTCCGAAGGGATGCACAAGCAGGCGCCCGATGTCATAGTGTGCAAAAAGTTAGACCAAGTGACATCAAAGGCATACTTGACGAAATCGTACACGCGCGATGTGCTCTTAAAACCTAAAGCTTGTTGTTGGTAGCGAACAGCGCTACAAAAATTAGAATGGGTGATTACCACGCCCTTGGGAACTCCAGTGCTGCCAGATGTGAAGACGATATACAACCTATTGATCGGCTTGACATCCGGTAGGGAAGTGGAGGACGTGCTTAACTTCGCAAGATGAGCCTCGCTCACAGGCACCGTGACACAGTCTGCAAGACGCTTTGCCATCTCCTCATTTGCCGCTGATGTCAGAATGACTACAGGATTGACCTGCTGAATAATGCTGCGTAGACGTTCCTCTGGAAGAGTTCTATCTAGAGCTACGGACGCACCGCCTGCTTTCATAACAGCAAGCATCGCGACAGGCATCCATTTTGATTTCTCAAAATATAAAGGTACAACGACATCTGGCCCAATGCCCAGAGTAACCAAATGATGCGCGAGTTTAGTAGCAATACCATTCAACTCAGTATAGCTTAAATCGCCATCCCAGGCACAGATAGCGGAGGCATAAGGGTTTTTCTGGGCCACCTTCGCAATAATATCATGTACCAGTCCATGAACCGCTTCAGGTACTGTTTTGTTCCACCCCCAAATGTCTTGCAAATCTCTCTCACTGATGTTCTCCATTGCAGACAGTTGATTTTGTGGTTTGTTGACAGCTGCGGAGCCGGCTCTGCCATCGCTAACGAGGAATTTGACCACCTTTTCTAGAAGCGAAACAACACTCCGCGCCTGATCATTGGATACGCAAGATAGTCGGTGATCAACTGTGAAGCAGACCAAAGTGTCAGTGTGTCTGATGCTGATTGTGATGTCATATTCGGTCGGATCTTCCCATTCAAGGTCAGCAAACACCAGATCTTCCGTCACCATGCCTTCAGATAAGCTATCACTATCCCTTTGGAAGGATATAATAGAATTAAAGAGATTCTGGCCGAAGGGTAGGCCTAGCTCGTGCTGGATATCAGCAATAGAGCAATGCTGGAAGCCAAGGTCCTCCAAGACTTGATTGTGGACATGACTGATCAAGTCCTGCCCACTCCATTCTCGAGATATATTGGTACGACATATCATGACGTTAGCAAACGCACCGATAGACTCCATAATACCCTTAACAGGAAAATCTCGGCCAGACGAAAGATATCCAAAGCAGACTGAGTCAGAACCTGTGTAGGCAGATAGGGTAAGAGCCCAGGCGCTCTGAAACAAGCTGGCAGGTGTGATTGACTGAGCTTCGCAGAATTGCTGAATGTGGTGGAAAGTTTCATCACCGAGTTCCAAGGTAGCCACTCCGGTAGCATGCTTATCAGCCGTCGACATGGCTTCGGCCAGTCTTGGGAAGTGGCAAGGCTCCATAGCAGATAGTTTCTTCGTCCAGTAAGCCATCCTGTCAGCCTTGGACACGGACATAAGGGTCTGAGAAAACCCGTGGCTAATGCTCCTGAGCTCCTCAACATTTAGTTCGCCTGAGTAGGCTTTGGCCCAGTCCTGCATCGTGATAGCTGTTGAAGCGCCGTCGGAAATAGCGTGGCTCATTTCAATCTTGCAAATGACGCGATTATCACCGGATATAGTGCACAGCACCAATCTATGGGCCGGCTTATCCTGTGTGTAGTCAATGCTCGGGAGTTCCTTAAATATTTCAAGTGCTGATTCGAGGCTGTTGCTTTCGACAAGGACAACATCCCCACGGCAGGACTTGAGCACAACAGAGTTGAACGCAGCAGATGCATCCATACTATGAATAAAGACGGTTCGTAAAGAGGGGTGTCGAGCGACGACGGCTTGCCATGCATCAGCTAAAGCGCCGACATTAATTACGAGAGATCCACGAGGCCGTATTTCCCATGTTTGGGAAGTTTCGTATGAGCCTGTCCCTTTCATTTGACTGAGAAGAATTCCATCCACCATGGGAGAAGATGGGTAGATATTTTCGACTTGCGTGTCATTAAGAGCCTCAATACGGCTTAAAACGTTACCATGCAGCTCGTCAAGTCCTCTGTAGTCAAGGTTGAGAAATTCATAATCGCAAAGAGTGCGCTCGGGACGCCTGTTGGAGAGCTCAAAGCAGATCGCTTGCAGCGAGGTATTAATCTGTTCTACCCACGCCTGAATTAAGTCTTGATGAGCGAGATGTCGGTTCCAGGAGAAAGAGAACTTGGTTATCCCAGCTTCAATGACAACGTTAATATCGAATAAAACTGATGTTGGTAGCAACGGCCCAACTTGCGATACGCTATCATCAAAGTTGACCACTTCAAAGAGAGAGTCAGAACGCTCTAGCTGCTGAAACTGGCCGTGATAGTTAAATTGCAGTTCCATTGTTGAAGCATGAGACTCAAAGGCCGCTATGCCTTGGTCGTTTAGGTGTCTTGATACCCAGTAGGCCCATCCGTTAGCGGGTAGCCGCCTCCGTGCATCCTTGACTAGCCTTGTGATATTAGCACGGCTGTCTCCATCGCTGCGAGAAATGTGGATAGGACTGATTGTCGTGAACCAGCCAACAGTGCGGGACAAGTCAACATCCGTTGTCCAAGGTTCGCGGCCATGGCCTTCGTTGAAAATAGAAAGGCCCTCTCGTTCAGGGAATACATAAAAAAAGGCATCCCAAATAGAGGAAAGAATTAAGTCAATAGGCTCAGTATTGAATGCAGTATTGGCGTCCTTTAGTAGCAGGGCTGTCGTAGCCTTATCTACTTCCAGCTTCTTTTCAATGTGGTCTGTGGCAGTATTTGAGGTATGTTCGGTGAAGTTCCAGAATGTGTGGTTATTGTGCACGTTTTTAGTAGAGAGGACTCTATCCGGCGCGAATTTAGAGGACTGAGCCTCGCTGGTTTGCAACTCGCTCCAGACCTGGAAGGGAAAGCTATCCAAGGTTTTCTTCCCAGTAAGCAAGGTCTCAAGGTCATCTAGTATGATACGCCACGAAACAAGATCAACGACCAAGTGGTGTGCGATAAGTGTTAGATATTGATCTCCAGATGGTAAATTGTATAGGTCTGCTGCGAAAACTAGACCACGTTCAATATCTAGGCTTTTGTGGATCTTGGTCGTGCTTGCCTTGATTTCATGTATAGACTGGGCATCTGAAGAGCCAAAATGATAAACAGCATCAATTGGTTTAGGAACACGCTGCATCCAACCGCTCTTGGAACGTTCGAACCGAGCGCGAAGCATAGAGTGCCGATTGACAATCATATCAATGGCCAGAGAGGCATGTTTGGTCAAGACGGGGCGAAAAACCTTCACGTAGAACCCCTGATTGCAATAGTAGTCCTCCTTGGTGACATCTTCAGAAGGTGTTTGGGCAAAAAACCATTTCTGAATAGGCGACAGCGTAAAGGCCTTGTCAAAGTCCTCTCTATATTCCTTGCTGCGACTGACTGTAGCATCCGTGGCAATTGTAGATAGCTGGGCCACATCGGCAAGCGATTTGCTTTTTAGCAGCACGCTTACTGAGAAGATAAGGCCGGCGACGCGACAATAGGACGAGAGACGCATGGCCGAGATGGAGTCGCCGCCATTGGCAACAAAGGAGCGTTGTAGGTTTATCTCGGAAAGGGGGGTATTCAGAATAACGCTGCAAGCGTCACAAAGGATACGCTCAGAGTCTGTCTCAGGCTTACGGGCTGCAGGTGAGAGGCCCGTATTGTTGATTCTGGCAAACGTTTCCGAGTCCATACGGAGCAGCCAGTCCTCAACAGCACGCCTATTAAGCTTGCCTGAAGGATTCAAAGGAATGTCTTTAAGAGCCACCCAAATAGATGGGATCATGTATGAGGGCAGAGCCTCACCTAACAGACTCTGTAACGCGTGAATGTGCTCCTGAACAGCAGTGGCACCATCTGCGCCAACAAGTTCGATAGGGGGGGAATTGTCATCCCTATGAATGCCCTCCAAACTAAAGACTCCTACCAACTTCTTGGCGCAAGGGCCTGAGTGAGGATATAAGGACGCAGACTGGCGCGTAAGTGGATGACGAGCCATGTGATTCTCGACTTCACCAAGCTCGACTCGCTGACCGTTTATCTTGACCTGAGCATCCTTTCGGCCGATATATGAAAGAGTACCATCAGAGTTGTATCTCACGAGGTCACCAGTCTTGTAAAGGCGACCATTACGTCCAGGCTTTCCAGCTCTGCCACGTAGTAGCCACGGAGGGTTATGAATGAAGCCTGCACTGGTCTTTGCTTCGTCGCCTAGATAGCCATTGCCGACAAGAGGGCCTTCTAGGACAAGCTCACCAGTTGCGCCAATTGGAACAAGTATATTATGATTATTGGCATCGGCAATCCAACACAGAATGCCAATCCCACGTCCAATCGTCGGTTCGCTGTGAATACTGCGATCAATAGTGGCAACGGTTGCCGTGGGTGTGCACTCACACGGCCCGTAGCATAGCTTCAAGTCAACGAGTGCTCTCCATCTTTCGGAATACTCTGCAGATAGCCTCTCACCACCTAGAATTAACGTGCGCAGAGACTGAATGGTGCTGTGCTGTAAGGTCGTCGCGGCAGATGGGGTGATGTCGAGGATTGTAGGCTTGAATCGCTCGATGGATCCTGCCAGGTCGTCTCTACGTTCACTTTCGGATGGGATGCACAAGCAGGCACCAATCGTAAAGGTGTGCATGAAGTTGTTCCATGCTGTATCAAAAGCGTACGAGGTAAAGTCGTAGACTCGGGCATCAGGGGTATATCCCTGGGCAAGCTGCTGATAACGTACGGCGCTGCACACATTGGCGTGGGTGAGTATGGCACCCTTGGGTGTACCGGTACTGCCCGACGTGAAATTCAGGTATGCTTTATTCCACGGCTGGACCTGGGGAAGCCGTTCAAGAAGTTTTTCGCCGCAAATTCGCTCTAAATGTTTGCTGCTCACAATAATAATCGGTGTGTTCGTGAGTTTGCTTACCAGCTCCGCATTGCTCGAAGAGGATACCACCACAACAGGCTTGATCTGGTCGATGATGGCTCGAAGACGATCCTGCGGTTGGGACGAGTCCATCAAAACCGATGCGCCACCTGCTTTCATAACAGCCAGCATTGTAATTGGGGTCCACTTAGACTTTTCAAAGTAAAGGGGAATAATAGTCTCGGGGCCGACGCCAATACAAACGAGATAGTAGGCAAGACGAGTAGATAAATCGTCAAACTCGCGATAAGTGAAATCACCATCCCAGGCGTTCACGGCTAACGCATCCGGAAGAATCCGAGCTGTCTTCGAAATCATATCGTGAAGGCAAGCGTCAAGAGCTTCAGGGCAGGTGTCGTTCCATTCCCAAATATCCCGCATGTCTTGGGCACTCACCATGTCTATGCTGGACAGACTCTTGCTAGCATTTTCGGGGGCGCACAGTTGTCGAATAATATGCTCAAGCTGGGTAGCCAGTCTCTTAACATGTTGAACGTCCAGGATGTTGGCGTCGTACGCAATACGCAGTCTCAGCCCCTGGCGTTCCAAACTACACTCGATTGTCAGAGCGTGGGTGTCGTACTCAGTCACATTAGTGTCGTCCTCTCCGTTTTCATCCCGTCTGCTAATAAACCAGCGGCTACTCGTATTCTTCTCTTCCTCATCCTCAACGGGATGCACAACGAGCAAAGTCTGGAATCCACACGCTCTTTCAGCTTCCGCACTTACGCGGCGGATGCGTTGCAGTCCCGTCTGTTCAAACTCCGTCATCTCCACTGCTTGGGCCTGAACTTGACGTAAGAGTTGCTCTGCAGTCATCTCTGTCCACTCAAAAGCGACTCTCACAGGAACTGTAGCAATTGTCGGCCCAATAATTCGCTCAACGTCAAGTACTCTAGCCTGTCGTCCAGAAACAGTGACACCGAAAACAGTATCAGAGCTATCGGTATACTTTGTAGCCAAAAGTGACCATGCTGCCCGTATCACCATGGAGGGCGTTACATCAGACTTTGGCCATTTTAATTCCTGGATACGATGCTTGATGAAGGCGTTTGACATTGGCTGGTACGTGACAGACGGAAGTGACGGGAAAATCTGAGCTTCAGAACCCTGAAATTGCTCGCCCCAGTACGTGGCGACGATACTCTGGTCAATGTCCATGATATGGTTGACAAAGGTTTGAAGGGGAGGGGAGAAAGGGAGGGCGCTGCCTTCATTCAAAGAATACGCGTCTTCAAGCTTATTCAGCATTAAGGAAATCGACCAGCCGTCGTAGAGAGCATGATGAATGGTCCAGACAAAGAACCGACTGCCATCAACTGGGTCTTGAAGCACAGCGAATCGTGTCATAGGTGTGCCCAGGCCGGTGGTGAGCTGCCTGTCAACCATTTCGTAATCTTTGAGGCTCATTAATTCATCCTTCCGAGACCAACTAATAGGTCCGTCGACAATGACCTGAACTAAGCCACGCTCACCGAGATCTGTAATTCGAGTCCGTAGGATGGGCGTTGCGGAAACAACAGCCTCCCAGGCTTTAAAAAACTGTTCAGGGCTTACACTGGGCAGGAGTGGGTAGATGAATCGCGCAACATAATCGCCAGGTCGCTTGGCAGTCAAAGCAAGCAAGCCCTCCTGAAGTGGTGTACAGGGAAACGCATCGGTAACTTGCCTCGCCTCGACATTACACTTAGCTGCGATTTGCTCCTTGAGAGATTCGAGGTCCTCTCCTGAGTTTAGAAGCGTAAACGGCTCATTTTGATGGGCGTTTTTGCCGCTAGTACCGACAGCTTCTTCACAAACTACGGTAGCCAAGTCGCTCAGCAGCGGGTGCTGGAACACATCGGCCACCGAGAGGGTAAGATTCTGCTCACGAGCTGCCGCCACAAGCCTCATGGCCGCAATAGAATCGCCTCCTATGCGCAAGAAACTATCGTCTGCAGCAACACTGTCGGCATTTAAGCCTAGAACAGCCGCCCAGAGACTCTGCAAGCGCTTCTCGGTAACGGTAGAGGGCTGTGGTCGCTCGGAAGACAAGGGCAAGTTGGTTCTCACGAGGCTCTCGAGAGTCCACTGTTGACCAATGGCGCGGAGCCTGCGGCGATCAATCTTGCCAGTTGGCGTGACGGGGATTTCGTTGAGTGCAATGTAAGCCGATGGGACCATGTAAGCCGGCACCCGTGCCAGAAGTCTGTCGGCAAGTCCAGCTGTAATTTTTGCGAGTTCATTCTGCATAGCTTTTTCATCTCTGGGCTCAGACGCGATGTCAACTTGGATGAAGGCTACAAGGATCGAATTGCTAGTGTCTCTGGGCTTCATAACCTCTGCTACAACATTTACGTCCTGTCTGTGTGAAATGCTGGACTGGATGTGGTGCTCAACGTCGCCCAGTTCCACACGCTGACCATTTATCTTGACCTGCGAGTCCTTTCTCCCAAGGAACATCAGGGTTCCATCTGCATCATATCGTGCAAGATCTCCAGTCTTGTACAGACGTCCGTGGCGGCCGGAGTGATTGGGAGTTCCGTCCAAGAGCCAGGCTGGGTCGTTGATAAAGGCGGCCGCGGTCTTTTCCTCCTCCCCAAGGTAGCCGGCCGCCACGAGAGGGCCTTCCAGCAGAAGCTCACCGACACATCCCAGAGGGACAAGCTTGGAGTGATCAAACGGCTGCACCAGCCATGTGCGCAGACCCAGGCCTAGGCCGATACCTATGCGTTGACGTTCGTCGGAATTTGAAGCTTTGTTGGTGGTGACTTGTTGGGCAGTGCTAAACGTTGTACACTCCGTAGGGCCGTACAAGTTGGTCACGGCGCTCTCCGGATGCAAGCCGCCAACATCGTCAGCTGAGAGAGCTTCGCCAATGAAGTGTACATGGCGCAAGCCTTTGAGAGACTGCAAGTCAAGCCCGCGAATGGTGGACGGCGTGAAGATGGCCGTGTTGGCGCCAAGACGAATGATGGCGCCAAGAGGGTCGTTGCGGCGATCATCGTTACTTGGAATACAGATGCAGCCTCCGGCAGAGAGGCCCTGAAGAAGATTGCACCAGACCACATCAAACATGTACGATGCAAAATCGTAGACTCGTGATTGCCTAGTGAATCCTAAGGTTTCACGCTGATGTCGAATGGCGCTAGTGATGTTTGCGTGAGTGACGACGACGCCCTTGGGGGCGCCAGTACTGCCAGATGTAAAGACGACATAGAGCGTGTTGGATTGATTGACAACGGGCAGCGGTGTTTCTGCCGCGGCGGTTGATGTCAGTGATGGAATTGTTTGTGTTTTTGTCGTCGGTGTTGGTGTTTTGGTCTGTGTTGTTGGTAGCTTTGCTCCTGCCACCAGCTGCTCGCCCACTACCACAACAGGCTGGTGCGGGACCAGGCGGCGGGCGAGATCCTGATTGGCTATCGACGTTAGTATCACAACTGGACTTACCTGCTTCACGATGCTGTTGAGTCGATCCTCCGGCTGCGCATAGTCGACGGCGACTGACGCACCCCCAGCCTTCATTACGGCCATCATGGCCACGGGCATCCACTTTGACTTCTCAATACACAGCGGGACGATGACCTCTGGGCCGACCCCTAGAGTGACGAGGTGGTGAGCCAGGCGGGTCGATAACTCATCAAGCTCGCGGTACGTCCATTCGCCATCCCACGCGCACACGGCCTGTGCCTCTGGCTGCTGCTTCGCCATCATGGTGATTAGATCGTGAACGACACCATCGGCAGTATCGGGCACTACCGAGTTCCAGTGCCACATTTGCTGGAGGTCCTCCTGACCGACCAAGAGGATGTCTTCCAGCTTTGCCTCAGCAGATTCAGCACTACATAGCTGGCGGACAACATGTTCGAGCTGCCTCACCAGAATGGCTACTTGGTCGTCATTCAGCACGGCAGAGTCGAATCTGCTCAGCAAGACGACGCCTTGATCTTCAAGGTAGCATTCCAGGGACAACGGATACGTGCGGAATTCTGCCATTTCGTCATCGAGGGACCAGTGATCATTATCACTGTGGGGCGCGAAAAGACTATCATGGGTGGCCTTTTCTTTCTGGTCCGCAGCTGGCTGGATGACGAGCAACGTTTGGAAGTCACAGGCTCTCTCAGCCTCGGGGCTGATTCGCCGAATCCGCTGCAGACCAGTCTGTTCAAACGCCGTCATGTCAACGACCTGTGTCTGGATTTGAAGAAGCAGCTCTTGGATAGTCTTTCGCTTGTCTAGAACAATCCGGACAGGCACCGTCGCGATGGTTGGGCCCGTCATCTGCTCTACGCCCGGCAAGGCTGCCTGCCTACCACTCACCGTGACACCAAACACGGTCTCGTTAGCATTGGTATAACATGAGGTGATGATAGCCCAGGCAGCTCGCAACATGGTCGACGCAGTCACGCCCATCATCTTCGGCCACTGTAGTTCACTGATGGCGTGCGTCAGCATCTTATCAGATCTCGGCTGATAGCGCGGCGACGGCAGGTTCGGAAAGGTCTGCGCCTCAGAACCCTCAAATTGGGTAAGCCAGAACTTGGTCGCCTCGTCTTGCCGCATGCCCAAGATATGTCTTACGAAGCCCTGGAATTGAGGCGAGGTCTGTAGCGTTCCCTCGCCGGCATAGGCTTGAGCAAGCCGCTCCAAAAGAAGCGGCTTAGACCACCCGTCGTAAAGCGCGTGGTGTATCGTCCACACAAAAAACCGGCTAACCTCCTCACCGTACGACTCTTCTAATAGTGCAAACCGAGCCAGGGGCGTACCCAGGCCTGTGGTAAGCTCCCCATCCTCTTTCTGATATTTCGCAAGGTCCATTTCGCCACCCTTGGACGCCCATTTTACGGGCTGGTTTAGGACTACCTGCACCAGCCCTTGTTGGTTAAGGTTGACAATACGTGTCCGAAGAATAGGTGTCATCGCAACAACCTCCTCCCACGCCCTCTTGAGACGTTTAATATCCACTGTGGGTTGCAGCTGGAATACATGACGAGAGACGTAGTCGCCTGGATTCTTTGCTGTCAGGGCGATTAAACCCTCTTGGAGTGGTGTACAGGGAAAGGCGTCCTCAATCTCAGCTGCGTTGACTCCGCAGGCGCCAGCAACTTGGCTTCTCATAACTGCCACCTCAGTATGGTCTTTCAGTAATTCGTAAGGCTGGATGAAGCTGCTAGTTGCGGGAAGCTCGCCAACGACACCTGCCATGTCCTGCAGTACCGAGTGGTTGAAGATGTCGGCGACAGTAAGCGACAGACCATGCTCTCGCGCGGCTCCAGCTAATCTCATGGCTGCAATAGAATCCCCGCCTAGTCGCAAAAAGCTGTCGTTGACACCGATGTTGCTGATATCAAGGCCAAGAACAGAAGACCAGAGGCCTTGTAGACGGAATTCCATGCGCGTGGTTGGCTCTTTCTTCTCGGGAAGAGGCGAGCCCCAGGCCATGAGCTCCTGCATTGAAGAGGTTTCACACATTTCTCTCAGTTTCCGTCTATCCATTTTGCCATTGGCATTCTTCGGAAAGACCTCCAGTGGGATGTAAACAGAAGGGATCATATATGCCGGTATTTGGGCGGCTAATCGATTGTTGAGTCCATCGATGACTCTCCTCAACTCCCCTTCCAGCCCGTCTCTACCTTGTCTGGCAGCTGGTGTTGATATTTGCAGGAAGGCAGTGAGTAGAGGTCTATCGCTGTCACGCGGAGCTACGAGCTCGGCAGCCACCCCTACATCCGTGCTTTCGGCGAGATGCGCCCGCACATGATGTTCAATATCACCCAGTTCCACACGCTGGCCATTAATCTTAACTTGCAGGTCTTTTCGGCCCAGGTAAGCAAGTTGTCCATTCGCCTCATATCGTACAAGATCACCAGTCTTATATAATCGTCCCGGCCGTCCCGAGCCTCCTGGCGGTCCATCCAACAGCCATTTTGGGTTTTCGATGAACACTGCAGCTGTTTTCTCAGCATTTCTATAATATCCAGCTCCCACAACTGGTCCTTCCGTTAGCAATTCTCCAACGGCTCCAACAGGCACCAGGCTATCATGACAGGACGGGTCGACAATCCAGCTGCACGAACCAATACCGTGGCCGATAGTGGCGGAAGAGGAGTCTATATTGGCAATATCATTTATCACAGCCAGAGTAATCCCGACTGTACATTCGGCCGGGCCGTACAAATTAATGACGCGGGTATGTTGTGCCCACTCCAGAGCCTGATGGCTTGGCAAAGCCTCACCGGCGAAAACTACTTGCTTTAATGTGCCTTTGAGGTCGGATGGCCGTATCATGCTGCCAACTGATGGTGTGATATTTATGAAGTTTGCGTTATATGCCAGTATTGAGCCAGCGAGGTTGCTCATGGCGTCTTGTTGAGAGGGAATACAGAGGCAGCCACCCGCAGTCAGAGTGAAGATGAAATCAGACCAAGTTACATCAAAGGAGTGTTTAGTGAAATTGTACACTCGCGAGGAACTGGAGTAGCCTAATATGGCCCGCTGGTGGTGAATCGCGCTGCAAAAGTTGGAGTGGGTAATTACAGTGCCCTTGGGGGTACCGGTACTGCCAGAAGTGAAGACAAGGTAGAGAATGTTCCGTGGCTGTACCTCTGGCAATATGCTAGTGACATCGGGGGTGGTGCTGGCCTCGTCGACAATTATGACTGGCCGTGGGGTGAGCTGCGCGGCAAGCTCAGTGGTCATAGAGGAGGAAAGTATTAAAATCGGTTCGACTTGTTGCACAATGCTATATAGCCGGTCGCTGGGTAGACTTGTTTCGAGAACGACTGATGCACCACCGGCCTTCATGACAGCAAGCATCGCAATCGGGGTCCATTTTGACTTTGGGAAACAGAGGGGAACAATGATGTCAGGGCCGATGCCCATGTGGACGAGTCGGTGTGCCAGATTAGTTGAGCGCTCATCAAGCTCGCGATAGCTCCAGTTTCCGTCCCAAGCGCAGATAGCCTGCTCGTCGGGCTGCAATTGTGCCCTCTGCGTGATGAGATCGTGGACGCGGCCGTCCACCGTCTCTGGAACAGCCTCGTTCCATTTCCAAATGAGTTGAAGATCTTGGGGAGTAGCGGCAGTAGTAGCAGCATGTTGGGGCACGTCGTGGTGCGGTGGTGAGGAATCTTGCACCTCATCTTGTGCAATTGCGGACATTTTTTCGATGACCGTGATTGCACTTTCGCTGTTTGCACAGTGTCTAGCGGGATCGTTGTCAGACTCACCGCGTGTAGTTTAACACGCAATGAAATGGTTTCTGCGGGTTTCGTTTGTTTCTCAAGAAGCTTCTGTGTCTAGAAACAAAACCACTGGCCGCAAAAATTGTTGCAATACAGACAGTGGTAGGAGGCGTGAAGCTGGCAAGTTTTCAATTCACCCACGGCTTATAATCCGTGACTGTCCATCAGGTCGATGATTCAAGGTTACACGCCCAACTACACCCTGGAGCTCATTCCAAGCCATTTCAGACCGGCAACTGTAGTGCCGTAATGATGACTGTAGCAACACTTACTCCGTACGGAGTACACGACATTTGTCACACACAAACAAGATTCTCTGTCGTCCCAGGGTAGTTGGGCGTGTAATTATCGTGTGCTAAGTCATTATTACGTATTCCGTCATAAAACGCAGCTGTATGGTACGGATCAAGAGGTAAAATCGATGACGATCGTGTACTCCGTACAATTGCCGTTACTGCAGAAGAGCTATCGCAATATTTGGCCATGCATAACGTTGTCAGCCGCCAATAGACACGCCTCCGGATCCACGCCGCGGCCGAGCGGCTGAGGCGGCCCGACGCCTTGGACCGCTTTTAACGCGCGTGGCTTGCATCAATTCATCAATTGGACGTTTGAGTCCTTCTGCCCCTGGCCCAGACCCCCGGAGAAGGATCTATACTCAATTATTGCATAAATATTGGGTCTGGCGCACACCCCTTCACCTTTTATCACGTGTGACAGCAACGGCGTACGGCCTGGATCCACATATGTGAGCTTTTCCCCTTCAGGCTTCACGCTAACTACCCTGGGTTGTTTCTCGTTCCATTGGCCTGCCCGAGTTAACTGACTTTGAAAAACGAGCTAACGCAAGCATGATTTGACGTAGTATTTGCTTACAGATCACTGTGTGCTTTTTTTTTCTTGAAACAAGGATTCGGTGAGGATCAGAGTGAGGACGAGAGCTGTAGTCGAAATCGGGATAGTCGCTATCGAGACTTGCTGCCGCCGCCTTTGAAAAGGAAACAGATCCCTAGTTCGTACCCCCGCGTATGCCTTCCATGCACACTCCCCTCCTTTAGGTTGCTGCGAGCTGCGGGCATCAAGAGATACTGATGCCGGCTATAACATTACTATGGCATGATGAAGGCGCTTTCCGGAATGCAGAGAATAGCGACAAACCTGTTCACAATGGACGCACGTCTGTCTCAAAAAGAGTGTAAAGGAAAAAAAAAAAAGGAAAAAACCCTCCTTGAACGGGAAGAGAGTGCCGTCTTACAACATTTTCTGTCTAAGAAAAGCGGAAATTCGCAACCATTGTCCCTCAACCGGCCGTTAATCAACCGTGTCTTGCTCAACGAGTCATAGAGATCAGTTCTCCGTAGTCTTGTACGGTTCCTGGTCCGAATTACTCCCTGTATCATGGGAGCATTGTCGGAGCATAGTGACTAGCTCGACGAGGCATGATACAATTCCGTTTACCCCAACAATCACCTCTATTTAAACAATGTGAGCAAATTGCTCGGAATTTTTGCTCCGTACCTGGTTTCCTGTAGTCATCCTTTACAGAGCCCACCTTTGCCCCCAAGTATACGACGCTTGTTGCTTCTTGCTGCGGGGTTTCAATTCACGCTCATCTACCCTACTGCTAGCTAATACCATCATTGAAACTTCAAGACGGTGGAAACACATCCAGCATGGCCCTCTACGCCCTTTTAGGCTTCTTCATTGTCTTCGTTCTAAGTCTCGCAGCCGGGAAAGCTATTTACGCCCTGTTCTTGTCGCCATACAGAAACGTCCCAGGGCCAAGGCTTTGCAAAATCACACGCTACTGGGCCGTCTACCATGACATGTGGCTGCGCCGCATTGAAAAGATTTACGAGTGGCATCGCGAATATGGCGACGTTGTGATGGTTGCGCCAGGAGAAGTTTCGTTTTCCAATGCGGCGCTGACGAGGGAGATATACGGCTCTACCGGGCGACATCCCAAAAGTAAATACTTTGACAACTTCCTCATGTACGGCGAGCGACCAATCTTCTGCACACTGGATGTGAGGGAGCACCGCCAAATGCTCAAGAGAACATTTGCCTTTTACCAGCCGACCTCAATTTACAAGCCGGCCAGCCTGCAGCCCCTGTGGACCAATGTCAGGAGGTTTCTCGACCAGCTGAAGAGAGACATTGCGGTACAGCCGACGGTCGACGTCCTGCTGTACTGCAATTTCTACTCGTTCGACAACATCACGAACCTGGTGTACGGTCCCGAGCTCTGCGCCCGCACAATAGGGGATGCCGAGTGCGAGGAGCGCGCGATACTGGAGGGCTGGAAGGAGGTCGAGGTCTGGAACAATCTCTCCTACAACTTTCCGCTGGTTCACAAGATGATTAGGGCCGTCGTATCCTATGCCAGAAAAGACCCGGCTTTTCTGTCGGCCGAGGAGCGATTGACCGACTGGAACATGGACAAGATTGAGTCTGCCAGGCGGAATCCGGACAAGATGGTTGCCGGCTCTCTGTTGCACCAGCTGAGCAACACGAAGACGCCCGACGGTGAGGCGTTTCCCACATCATGGATTGCCGCTGAAATGCTGGACAATATCCATGCCGCGCAAACCACGGTTGCTCTCTCGCTCACCTATACGCTTTGGATCCTGGCCCGCCACCCCGAATGGCAGGACCGCATTCGAGCAGAGCTTCTTGCGCTACCAGTCAAAGAAGATGGCTTGCCCAACTTTGACGACGTCATGGCTGCCCCAATCCTGGACGCTTGCTTTCGAGAGTCCAGCCGACTTCGTCCTCTGTCGAGCGGAAGGGCCGAGAGGGTAGTGCCCGTTACCAAGGCATACAATGGGGTGGTGCTCCCCGCTGGAGTGAGTGAATTCTTTTGGTGCACTTTCCATCCCCTGCAGAGTCTTTTCGTTCCTTTCTATAGACGGCTGTTGCTTGCGCTAACAATTGACCCGTGAATGCAGACCGTTGTGTCAACGTCAACGCTGTCGATACACCACAGGCCAGACGTGTTCCCAGACGCCCACACGTACAGGCCTGAGCGCTGGCTGGAGGCAGACGAAGCAACCCTGCGGGACATGGAGTCGTGCTACATGCCGTTTGGCTACGGCGCGCGTCTGTGCCTGGGCAAGGCGTTCGCCGTGGCAGAGATCAAGCTCTTGATTGCGGGCATCGTGACGGAATTCCGGCTTTGGGACGATCCTCAGTCGCTGACGACGGAGAGGAGTATGGAGCAGCTTGGGACGCAAAACGCCATGCCGCGGGGGCAGCGATGTGACCTCGGTTTTAGACAACTGTCGGAGTGGGAGCGGGAGCGTGGCAATGGCACGCAAAGTGTGCCGTGATGGCGAGTCTGCAGCCCTTGCCCGAGGAGCAAGATAGACCACGTGTAGTAAATGAATAAGAACACGATCTATCCAATAAAGTGGTCCGCATGCCATTAGCCATCACAGTGTGGGCTGGCTCTATACAGCGATTCGGGTTCTCAACGGGCAACAAAAGTGACTGGTGATAGTTAGCTCAGAGCATGCGGTGTGCTGCAATTTGCGAAGGCCTTGGTAAATGGCACCTGAGTCAATAATTTGTGAGTTACGGGGTACGGAGCACACCGTTGGCCATCAATTGCTCTCTACGGAGTACTTACTCCGTACCTGGCCCTGCCTGCTCTGGACCAGACTCGGTTCTTCCCTATTGGTCCGTCATGGTGGTCGTGGCTCCGAATTCGTCTTTGTCTGCCGCTCGGGTGGCGCATGTGGCGTCTAGTTGCGAGCTGAGGCGATAATCAATATGCTGTGATCCAAGAGTCCAAGACAGTTTCGGGCCAGCTAGTACTCATACCTAGGCACTTAGGCACCCTGGCCACCAAATCTGCAAGTCTTGCTTCAATGTTGTCCAATGCCGAGTCCCACAGCGCATACCGGTCGTCATCACGCTTCACCTGCTGTCGTGTTCGCCGATATTTCGTCACCATGCGAATCTTTGAAGTACCCAACAGTTGCTCTTACGAATCAATGTCTTGGCCCTCGGCCAATGTATCGTGATAAATACGACGGTGGAGCACAAGGCTCCTAAAGGGGAAAGCTGGTCAAGATCAGAGTGCACATGTGAAGAGTGGGAACTTGAAGTCGGTGGGGTCACTGGTCCCTGCTTTATTCACCCCACGGGGTAAGCTCAACAAAGGCGGTTGGGGTGATCCCCCAAAATTTTACGTCTGGAGATGATGCGCGACAATTTCCATCATCACAATTCCATCATGTTGACGTGGAGTCTTTCGACTTGACACTTGCCACCCTCATGTCCTTTCCCCCATGATTACCGCGTACCAAAATCGCAATTGGCCTCGCCACCACTCTAGAGCCAAATCACGGGCTCGTCGATTCACAAAATGGCATCACCGAGGGGAAATGCTGTGACCACTACCAGCAAACTCGCCAGCGTGGCTGATAGCTCGTGCTCGATTGACGTTCACGACGTGTTTGGCCCCACAGTGGCATACGCTTGTCTCAATGGCTTCGACTTCACGCTGCTATTCGAAGAGAGCATTCTCACTCTTTTGCCTCTTCTCCTTACGGGTAAGAGAAATGATGGCCTGTTTTCTCGGTGTTGACGCCTTGCTAAGTCAAACTTCTAGTTCTGATCCTCGTACCCCGCGCCATAATTCTTTGGAATACTGCTCCCAAAGTCAATAGATCATGGCTTTTTACGCTAAAACTTGTAATTGATGCTTCGACTCCTTCTTTCATATCGCCCAGACCTACTAGGTAGTTAACAAATATTATGATGTCCTAGGTGACATTCTCTGTCTACATCACCCTCCAGGTTGCTCTGCTTGCTCTCTGGACACAGCCGAATACGCCTACGACCAGGCTCACCATACCACTAAGAGCCATCATTATCGCCAGTTTTATCTGGTTTCTCTACGTGTCTTACCTAGAGCACGTCCGATCTGTTCGGCCATCGACTATACTATGTCTCTATCTCGGCATATCTTGCTTGTTGGACATGGCTTGTGCGCGTACCGTCTTCTTTATTCCGGGCTACCATATCGTGGCGCCCATTCACCTCGCCAGCTACTTTGTCAAGTTGGTGCTTTTGGCCTTGGAAACAACCGAAAAGCGAAGGCTGCTTATGCTGCAATGGAGAAACACATCGCCAGAAGCTACAGCCTCGTTCTACAGTAGAGTGCTATTCGTCTGGCTCAATAATTTGTTCCTCAAGGGATATAAAACGCTTCTGACTGTGGACACTTTGACGCCGCTCGACCAAGATATTCTTGATGCCTCTCGACCTACTAAGCTGGAGGAAAGATGGGAAAAAGGTAGGTCTTCTGGACGCCCCATTCCACTGTTAAGTCCGTCTTTCACTGACATCCACACACCTCGCAGCTGACAAATCTAGCAAAACCGCTTTGCTTTGGGTCTTTATTCGGCACTACAAGTGGGATCTGTGGGCTGGTGTCTTGCCGAGGCTGGCCTATGTAGGGTTCACTTTTGCTGAACCTTTTTTAGTCAAGAGAGTACTAGATTTCACGGTGGAACCGGATGGTCCCAATACGAGAAATTTCGGCTACGGTCTAATTGGAGCATATGCTCTTGTCCACATTGGTAAAGCAGTACGATGTAGTTCCTATTCATTTGTATCGCCGCTCATAGTCTAATTGCATCTTCTGTAGTTGTCGCTGGCCTGGTACGAGCATATGACATATCGTGTCTTGACAATGTTCCGCGGCAGTTTAATCACCATTATTTTCGGCAAAACTCTTCGCCTCAGCGCTAGTGCTGTTCACGATGCCGAAGCGATAACATTAATGAGCGCTGATGTTGACCGTATTGGTCTCTGTATGCCAGTTCTGCATGATTCATATGCCAGTCTCGTGGAGCTTGCCTTGTCCCTATGGCTTCTCTACAGGCTCCTCGGCATCGCCGTATTCCCCCCTACCGGCTTCATTATTTGCAAGTATAGCCCGATTCAGGATATTAGATTGTCGTAGTTTCAAAATGCTAACATACCACAAGTGTGTCTTTCTGTTGGCATTCCTATTGCCTCTGCAGCCGGAAACGCCCAAGTACCATGGCTTGAGGCTATTGAAAAACGGTTGGCTGTAACATCCAAGATGTTGGGAACAATGAAGGCGATAAGGATGGCTGGTTTGACAAGAACCATTCACGCAATTGTTTCGAATCTCAGAATCAAAGAAATCCGGTCCTCACGCGCTTTTCGTCTCTTGTCCGTGCTACAGACTGGCGCCGGTGAGTCTCATCGCCCCTACACTCCGCCCGGAGCGTCTCCTCTTTTTAGCACTATCTAACTCGAGTGTTGACAGCAAACTGCACATTTACTTTTGCTCCCGTCTTAGGTCTTGGGACCTTTACCATCTTGGCAAAAATCAATAATACAGAGACCTTGACGGAAGGTGTTGCTTTTGCAGTTTTGAGTCTGTTCCAATTGCAAGACAGGCCTGTCATGTCCCTGCTGCATGGCTTCGAGGACTTTCAAACTATCATCAATGCGTTTTATCGCGTGCAAACCTATATCTTGTCCGCTGAGAGAGAAGACTTTAGAATCATTCCTGTTCAACAGTCTGGCACGTCTTCTGATGAAAGCCTGCAAAAATCCGACTCAAATGTGCCTGGGAATGGTATCCTGAGGGGGGCTGAAAGCCTCGATACCTCTACTTTCAGTGCCGGCGCTAGTGCTGTTAGCTTGAAGGACGCCGCGGCAGGATATTCCGAAACAATGATTGTTAAGGACATAAATCTAGAAATTGCTCGCGGCAAGATAACCATGATTGTTGGGCCTGTTGGCTCTGGTAAATCAACATTGCTACGGCTAATCCTGGGTGAATTGCCCGAAGTCTCTGGTTCTGTTATCTCTGACTATTCTAAATGCGCATTCGCTCCCCAGTCGCCTTGGATAACCTGGGGCACGGTGCAAAGCAACATTTTGGGGATGTCTGCTTGGGACACAGAGTGGTATAATACCGTTATTCGCGCTTGTTCGCTAGATACTGACTTTAAAGACTTGCCGGACGGAGACCAAACAAGAACTGGTACGCGAGGCTCGCGTCTAAGTGGCGGCCAGCAAATGCGTTTGGTGAGCAGAATTCGTGATGTTTTGTTTCAGAAGAGGTAGAACTCAGGCGCTGACGAGAGGTAGTCATTGGCTCGTGCATTATACTCTAGGAATCCACTTATTATCTTGGATGATGTCCTCACAGGACTCGATCGGCAGACCGAAGCCAGCGTTCTGGAGGCTGTCTTTGGTGCTGGTGGTGTTCTCAAGAAGACCAAATCAACTATCGTTCTTGCCACAAATTCAGGTACAGTAACTCGTCTTAGGTCACGATGCCATGCCTATTTACTAAATACTATTCAGTTGGTCATCTTCGTTTTGCCGACCACATCGTGGTCCTCAACAAGGAAGGTAGCATCGCTGAGCAAGGTACTCTTGAGCAAGTTTCCACGTCTGGCGGCTATGTGCAGCGACTTGCAAGTCTGCCAGCCGTTGAGACGTCGCGGCAGGAGTTGTTGGAGTTGCCAGAAGAAATCTACCAGGAACTTGGTCTCTCCAATGAGGAAGACGAGCTGGGGTCTGCCCGCAAAACAAGCGACTTCCAGGTTTATGCGTATTACATCAAAGTTGCTGGCACATGGACGTTTTCCATTTATATATTCATCTGCGCGGCTTACACCTTTGGGCTCAGCTTCCCTTGTAGGTGTTCTCGAGTCCGTCCTTTTGTCAACCTATTAACTCTGTTTTCCCTTTAGCAATATGGCTGCAATGGTGGACCGACTACAACGCAAAGCATCCAAATGAGAACATTGGATACTGGCTGGGTATATATTTTGGCCTCGCGGCTCTGGCGGTTGTAGGTTGCATGGGATCTGACTGGTACGTTGGCTGTATCACAAGGCACAGCGAAATAGCTGAACTAATTGCCTTTTAGGGCTTTCCGTATGATGTTGGTTCCGAAAACTTCACGGAAATTCCATCAGCTTTTGCTTGATACAACCATGCAGTAAGTACTCATACCTTTTTTTTTTTTTTGGTTGGGGAGGGCTATCCTCTGTTCGATGGCTGATGCTGATGATCTTCTAGCGCAACAACGTCATTTCTCACATCGACCAACGCTGGATTAACTACAAATAGGTTCAGTCAAGACTTACAGCTGATTGACAGCGATCTTCCACAATCTCTTGACGAGACCGTTATGAATTTCCTTGGCGTCATCACCTCGGCCGTACTGGTGTTCACTGGCTCTGGATACATTTCTGCTTCCATTCCCGTTTGTGCAGCCCTCATCTTCCTTATTCAGATGTTTTATCTACGGACTTCGCGCCAGCTGCGATTGCTCGATATTGAAACCAAAGCACCACTATTTTCTCACTTCATTGAGACTCTAGGGGGTATCACTTGCATCCGCGCATATGGGTGGTCTGCAGAGTACATGGATCAGAGCTATGACGCTCTTGACACCTCGCAGAAGCCATACTACTTGCTATGGTGCATTCAGAGATGGTTAACCTTGGTTCTGGATCTGTTGGCAGCTGGTATTGCTGTGATGCTGGTTGCGTTTGCAACAATGGTTCACAACGGATCAACTGGATTGCTGGGTGTGGCTCTTTTCAACGTTATTAGTTTCAGCGGCGTTCTCCAAAGTTTTGTCACACAATGGACACAATTGGAGACGGGCCTCGGTGCGATTGGTCGCATAAAAGCCTTCGTTCAGGATACCAAGCCGGAGAATTCGGATGGGGAGGTGGACGACTTGCCAGACAATTGGCCGTCAGCCGGCTCTATTGTCTTTAACAATATTTCAGCCTCGTATGAGGCATCCGCTAAGCCTGCCATAGATGGATTCAACTTAACAATCAAACCGGGAGAAAAGATTGCCCTGTGCGGACGAACTGGAAGGTGAGCTTCCTCTGCGCAGTTCTTGTCACAACTCGACTACTAACTAAAAGATTTCTCTAGTGGCAAATCATCGCTTCTCTTAACGATTCTTCGCATGCTTGAGCTGGATGCAGGCAGCATCACGATTGACGGGTACGATACCAGCAAGATATCACGTGAAGAATTACGACGGCGCCTGAACACATTGCCCCAGGAACCGTTTTTCCTACACGGAAGTGTGCGAGAGAACGTTGACCCGCTGCAAATCTCTACTGATGAGCGCATCATCGAAACACTGAGTGCTGTTCAACTTTGGGATATGCTAGAGAGCCGCGGCGGGCTGGACGCGCCAGTGAGCGAGGACTCTCTGTCTCATGGGCAGCGGCAGCTATTCTGTCTCGCCCGTGCGATTGCGCGCCCAGGCAACATTGTCATTATCGACGAGGCAACAAGCAGGTATGAATCGAATGATGCAGTCAATACCTTGCTATCCACAGAATACGGAATTGCTAACAATGTGGCAGTGTTGATTCGGAAACAGACGAACTCATGCAGCGGGTACTGCGGCAGGAGCATGACGGGCGTACCCTGATAGCCGTTGCCCACAAGCTACACACCGTGACGGACTTTGATCGGATAGTATTAATTAACAAGGGAAAGGTGGTTGAATCTGGAAACCCAGGGGAGCTTCTGGCGAACCCAACGTCGGCATTCTACAAGCTATACACGAGTGGAGGCAGCGCTGCCGAGTAAACAAAAGGCGCGTTCCTTTCTGTTCCCCTTTATCTTTTACGTTTAGAGCCAATGCAAAAACACATGATATACTATGCTCTAGCCAGTCTCATTACTAGGATACATGAATGGGTGAGCGAATATACAATAATACTAGCGGCAGGGGAGGGTATCGTCGACCCGCTTCGCCACTGCGCCTCGACTTCAGACGATCGATGATTACGGGGCCTATCCCGCCCTTAGCTTGACTTGATGCTTATTATCCCTGTAGCCAAACCCCTCCCCTGCAACGAAGGTCAAGTGCCAAGCTCTGACTTGGGATGAATGCCCAGGCTTGTCTAGCGACCCGGTATACCGTCGGCCATGAATCCGTCCAGGAATCCTTGTGTGCTACGCTGACCATCCATGGGCTCTGGTCCTCCACCCGCGGGCGCGGCTCACCACAACAAGCTTATCGCATTGTTTTCTGCTCCGTAAGATGTTATAATAATCCCACCCGAAAGTCTAGTATGTCCGCAGTCTCAAAAGGAAGAAGTGATCCACATGGCAGAATCTTAAACCATCCATGTGGAGAAAGACTATGTAAATCCAACCTCGCAAAATTGATACTAGAGGCTTTGCACACGACTTATCACTCCTCGCATAAACACCCCAGAAAAAGAATGACTATAAATAGCAGACATAATATTGAATTCAACAGCAAGAGCATTATGAAAGGATTCAATGTCTTACTACATTCACCACTTTGCGGGGTATAACCCGACATTTAAGATTCGTCTTCATCGAAACCTCAAGTAGGCAGTCTTGTACTCCTCTACAGGTTCCAAATCCAACGAGCTGGCAGCTAGCTACGCACTAGAATACCAAGAGAGACAATTGGCCCGTTGCACGGAACAAGGCGTGATAAGATATGTGCAATATGGTCAGGGCTGACGCAGGATCTAGCACCCACCCGTCATGTTTCGCTTCTACTGTCTCAGTCACACTCCCACCCACACAACTTCTTGTCTCCCGCCCCAGACGGTAAACCACCATGGCATGTGACGCGAGGCGGCTGCGGGACTCAATGCAGCGGAAAGACACGTTTCAACCCGTCAAACGACATAAAGATGAATGCCGAGCTAGGCGCGGACCGGAGACATGTGATGCCACAGCCGCGATACAAGCCGCGCAGCCCGTAGCCCCGCCAAAGAGCCAGGCCTTCGCGCCAAAAGGTACGCTCCTCCACCACGCGCAGCCCGCCCCCGGCCCGCGTCTGCACCCGGGACTTGATAGTGTCGGCCGGGAAGAACAAGAGGTTGTACGAGACGCCGGCCGAGGCGCCAGCCACAGCCTGCTGCCACAGCGGTAGCGGCCTGCGCAGAACATCCCCCCTCTCCGAGGGCGACGCGGCAGACTGTTGTGCCCGGGCGTAGAACGCAGCCGTCACGGCCTCCTTGGCGCCGAACCAAGCCGCGCCGCCGCCCGTCTCCCTGATCAGCGTGCCCACCTGGCCGTGCCAGAAGCCGAGCAGCCCCCCGTGGCGAAACACGTCCCGGATGACGCCGAGGGGGCCCGCGGCGGCGTCGCCCGGCGCCTGGATCCGGCACTTGACCAGCTCGACGGGGTTGAGGACGAAGGAGGCGAGGGCGCCCGCGAAGGCGCCCGTGGCCAGGAGCGCCGGCAGCGGCAGCCGCTCGTCTCGGGACGCCAGCCCACACGCGTACAGCACCTCGCGGCCTGCGCTTTCCAGGGCGAACAGGCTGCTGGTCTCGAAGGCGGCGCCGACCAGCGGCACGCTGATGCCGTGGTACAGGCCTAGCGCGCCGTGGGACTTGAGGAACTGGCGGAAGCAGTCGAACGGGCCTGCGTAGCGCAGGGGCAGCTGGTCCGGCTGGCTCTGGAGGCGCACCTTGACTGTGTCGAAGGGGTACTCGATGTATTTGCCCAGCATGCCGGCGAACTGGGCCGTGTGAATTTGCTGCCTGGCGCCAAGTGCCGCGGTTGAAGGGGGGCAAGACTTACCGTTCCGTAGAGGACATCTTCTACGGGTTCCATCGGCGGGCGTCTTGGACGAGCACTGGGGTGAGGACCCGGGCGGTGGGTGCTTTTTGCTATGAAGCGGATGGGAACGTTGCCAGGAATGTTTTTCCCATCTTGACTTGAAATCCTGCGCCCCTCATGAGGAGGGGAGAGAAAAATACGGTGGAATCCGGTGCCATGGAGCGAGCGCGGCGGTCAAGGTTTGTTGTTGATGACGCTGCCGGAGGATGATGGTAGAGGCAGAGTGTCTCGACTCTCACTTACGGATCATGCTGTCAAGGGGCGGTCAATGGTTCGGTCAGCACGCTGCGGGGGACAACAGAATAGGATAACAGGGAAAAGGGCTTTTCTGCCGCTACCATCCAGCTCCGACAGTCGTCATCGTCTCACGGCATCACGACATGGCGGCGTTGCGGCACAAAGGGTCGCGACCGATACCGCAATAGGGGCAAGTCTCGGGCTGGTTCCGATTCAGGACAAGATGGTAGTGGCGCGAAAAAGAAGGGGGAAAAAGTGACGTGCCCATGGCAGATGTATTGCAGCAACGCCCCGAGGTGTTTGGGTCAGAGTTGACGTTTCAATGTTCCCGCAAACCCCCACGCGGCCCCGTGGCTTCGGAACATGGCGATCAATTGATCTCTGGGCGGCAGCGGGAAGTCGTGGGCACTGGGGCCACTGCCGTCTGGGTGCTACACATCCCAATCCAACATTAAACTGATTGCATATGCGGATCTCTGGGGCGTGTCCTCTGTATGTGCATATGCAACTACATGCCTAGGTCCCCGGTGTGGCCGTCGTGGAGAAAGGCAGCTGTACCCGAGCGCCAAGAGAGTTGACAGCTGCCGAGCCGCCAGGGGTTGCATCTCATTGCACAGCATTATTTGTGACAGGCTTGGCGTCATACGTCACATGCCACGGCAGCTAGTGAGCGCCGCTTGACAGGTTTGTGCATCCATGTCATTCTTCAGCTGTTGGGAACCCACTGACCATGCCAGAAAAGGGAAGCAGGTTTTAGTTTTATTTCAATGCTTTCTTTTTGTCCCTCTCATCACCATGAGGCGGGCCAGCACTGGATATTCACGCTTTTCACGCTATTGACGAGAGCCCTCAATTGGCGCCAATTGGTTTCAAAGGAGGGAAACAAGATCTGCTCCGCCATTCAATCGGCAACGGTGGGTCTATGTTTGCCTTTATTCCGCATGTTCCTCTTTACATGGCAGGGATCGACCGCAACGACATATCACAACATGTCTTGTGTTTGCGTGTGCGCAACTGAGACTTACACGTCTGTCTGGTCTTGTTTGCTGCGGCTGGAAACCAACCAGGCAGAATATTGCGACCCATTGTTCGCCACGGGTTTTTCTGGCTGCGCAAACCGGACACCAGCGGGTCATTTCTGTTGACGACGCCTTCGTCTGTTGCGATTGCGATGGATTAGGCGAGACATGAGGGATATTATTTCACCCCAGGTGCCGTATTTTTTATTTTTTTTTGGACCGTTTAATGGATCTCGCTAAGACTTGCCTTATTAAAACAGAAGAACGGGGGGGGGAAATCGTGCCGCCAGACCCGCCTCCGGCGATGAACTATCAAATAAACTCAAACTCAATGCCATTTCGGGAAATATCTGCATACATGGCAGATTGTTACGCCGCATCAATAGCCGATCCAGTCACCCCCGCTGGCCTGTGAGAGCCGTCACCAAGACCATGTGCTACATTGGGCTCACCGCGCCGCAGCAGCACACATTACATACATTGTGCAACAAAACTTCTGGGCACACTGTGATTCATTGACTATCAACGCGGTTTCATAGCCGGCTACTGCTACTCTGTCCCACCCGGATCCTTCTACCCGCGCACCAAGTCCACCGTTGCGCAGTGAAACGAGCCCCCGAGACAATTGACGTGCTGAAACGGCAGCATGATGGGCTCCATGCCAAACTCGTCGCGGAGCCAGTCGGCAAACTCGACGTCGTGCTCCTCGACAAAGATCTGCCTCTCGTTGAGGCTCAGCGCGTTGAGCACCAGCCACGGCGAGCACATGTACATGGGCGGGCTCGGGGGCGCGCGCGGCCTCGGCTTGATCGGGCACGGCCGGAGGTCCCAGCCGGCAAAGACGGCGTGCCGGCGCAGCTCGGCCTCGGACACGCGCTCCGGGTTGTACACGGCCAGGCCGCGGCGCAGCGGCAGGATCGTCGTGTCAATGTGCATGGCGTGGTCGTCGGTCGTGCGCAGCACCTCGACCGAGTAGCCGTCGGGCACCTGCGCGCGGAGGTACTCGACGCCCTTCATGTTGGTGACGTGGCTCAGCTGCCCGACGAGCGTCTTGCCCAGCCGCATGAAGTCGGCCACGTCGGCCGCCGGCCGCGTGTTGTTGATGGTCCAGCTGGGGCTGCCGTTGGGCGCGCGCGTGCCGTCCACCACGGCCTGGTCGTAGATGGTGTCCTTGCCGATGATGGTCGGCGCCCGGCAGATGCGTGCCGCGCCGCCGTCGCCCGACGACAGCTCGCGCAGGATGCTCGAGTAGCCGAGCTCGACCTCGCGCCGGCGGCAGGCCCACGCAAAGGGGGACTCGATGAGCGTGTTGCCCACCGTCATCAACGTGTCGCGCGGCATCGACCCCGTGTAGCCCCCGACCTTGAGCCAGTCCACCTCGTCCGGGCGGTAGACCTTGACGCCGTGCTGCTGCAGTACCGCTGCCAGGTTGTCCAGCTCCTCCTGCGCCTTGGCCACAATCTCGGCGGGGAACGGGTTTCCCGGCCGGAACTCGTCGACGTGCTCGGCCGGCATGCTCGCCTCGAACACGGCCCGTGGCTCCGACGGGAAGGCTGAGTGCTCTGCCCGGCCGACAATGACGGCCTTGAGCGGGGACCACTCGTTGTCTGCTGAGATGAGCGTAGACATGGTTGGCTGCGGTGAAAGCTAGTAATGGGGTAAAGGGGTAGTAAGGAAGGTCGTTTTTGGCTATGAGAGTAAATTGTATGTCCATGTTGACAAGAAGTGGCCCAAGTATTAAGTGTTGGGCGAGTTTGCCCACTCTCTCATTACCGCCATACCGTGCAACATCGTTTCAGTCATATTCGGTCATTTGTATAAGACATACTCCGTATATGTTGATCTCTGCTGAGACTATTTCTCAGGAGCACGAAAACAAAACACAGGGTGTGTGCCACCAGACAGGTTGGCGTGCAATAACAGGAGGCGTGTTGTATGTACGGGTGGCGTCTACGATCTGCAATAAACAAGATTGATAATTTTCAGCCTCCCCTCTTCATTGCCGTCGCCCCGATCTGGCGGCGATGTCTCGGCGTGCGCTGACTCCCCGGCCGTAGACGGTACGGGACAGGGCATGCAATCCTCACAACGACATATACCACGGCTTGCTGAAGACATGGGCGGTAGATCATATCATCCATGCATAGTACCCAAGTACAGTCAGCGTTTCATTGCCTGCGCAGGTATGGAGTGCATGCGCCTAGCGTCTGTAGGCTGTCATTATTGCTTTTGTGTGATGCGTCACTTCCAAAATCAACGACACCCCAAAGCCCCCAGGATCCGCGTCTGGCGCAGAAATCGATGTCGTCTGGCCAGGTCAGGCTGCCATGTGAGATTCAGTGAATTGGGTTAATTACATGTGTAGGCAGACGCCCGAGCCGTGGGTTAATACCAGGAATCTCTGGTCTGCATCGCCGAATCAGCACCACAAGAGTCTACATATGTAGTGCAATCTAGCCATAGGGTAGGTCACGCTGTAATTTGTTTCCAACGGCGATGTTGTCAATTGTTGTATGGAGTCTGAATTGACCAGCTAGCTCGGCTTCGTGACTCGTCTTTGAGTTATTGACTTTGTCGGTGCTGATATTCGGCCCTTGAGTTGAACATGACTTGGTGGTTGTCCGATATTGCTTGCCAAAGCGTTATAGTTGTAGTTGGCCGTGACCAATGCTCCCTGGCCGCACATAGATCCTTGCAATGCGACAAGACAAATTTTCTCCGAAGGATCATCTTGCACCCGTTGCACGTAGAAAGCCAATGATCTTAACGGAACAATTTCCCAGCCATCACCGTTTCACTTAATACAGGCAGTCCATAGAGATTATCATGGAAGTCTGAAATGGTTGTCGGAAGCGAGCAAGCTTGACAACGAGATTGCGAGGTGCTAGTGCTCTCTTTGAAAAGACTCGTTTGCTTGATTGGCATTTATCAACAGTCAAGTGCGTACGCGGCGGCAATTGCAATCACATGGAACGATACGTAGTGTCAGAGAGCATGCAAAATGTTTTTTTTGGGACTAGCTAGAAGCCGAAGCCGCTTGAAGTATCTAAACAAGTGGTGGCCACACAAAGCTTCCAGTTTTGGGACACCCAACGAATGTACATCTGCAATGCACGAACGGATAGTACACTATGGAGAACACATGGATGAGGAGCTGATAGACCTATATCGACAAATGGTGGGTTGCTACGTCAGTCGGTGAAAATACAAGTTCGGTCCGTTGTCAACGGCATATCTGGAAACTGCACAGTTGTTAGCAACCACTCTAAACATAGTACATGTCTCGCGTGATAAAAAAGTGGAAGATACACAAAATCAGGAAATAGTTGAGTAATGTTCGTAATCAGGCCACTCTGACGAGTGTCATAAGCCGCGGTAATTTCACAAGGGAAAATTCATCATAATGGTCAAAGAAAATAGCAAAAACAGGAGAATGGCAACAACTTACTCGGCCTGGGTAGAGGAGGACTTTTCTGATCTGTGCCAAAGCGCCATCGGCGATGCGATGCAGCGCCGTAGCGGTGTTGGCGGAGAGGAAGAAAAATGTTGAGGGACGGAGAGGAAATATTTTGCGGTACAATTTTCTTTTCAATGACCAGATCACGTGAGATCTCTCGCACGAGCCACGCAGATGACTAAGAAACCACGCCGATCCGAAGTGGAGAATGTACGGGGTACCGAGCCGGGACCCTGGCGAGATGCGTGGCTGTGGCTGTGCTATTCCGTTGCCAACGACACCAAACGCCATGGAGCGAGGGAAAACAAGCTATGGTGATGATAGGAGTTCAATTGAGTACTCCGCACAGTCTACTCCGTATTGAGCTATGGATTTTGACAAAAAAAGACGGAGCGAATAATTGCTCCGCCCTGGCTGCGTGTTAGGCCTCAACTTGACATCTCTCCCTTTGGGCATATCCCAGGCCACTGAGCATTACTCCGTACATCAGGTCTTTGAGGCGCGGTGCAGGTTGTAAAGAATCACGGCATTGGCCCTCCAGGAGATGAACGAGTGGGAGATTGAAACGCTGCTAAACTCCAGAGTAGCCTGGTTGCAAATAGTTTGATGTAGCTGAAGGGGCCACAGAACAAGCACTGGCTGGATGCTTGGGATGGTGCCAATCTCCTCAGCAAGCCCATTGTTTCTGCGAATCGCGCGACGGGAAGAATGGGATTCGCTCAGAAGTATGCCACATCGGCACGAGGCGCCTCCGCACGGAGTACGGAATATACAGAATGCATATGCAGCTAATGCAGCAGTGCTGATACCCGACGTTACATGACAATGACATTGTCAGGCAGAAGCTGGCGGTTCAAGCAACGAATCCATTCGCTGAACTTGCAGGGTCTGAGGCACGTGGTAATAGGGCATAAAGCACGTCTCAGTCTTCGAGGAATAAACACTTCAAATTAGTAATTTGTGGAAATAGCTCCTTGCCCTCACAGGCCATGCTGTCGTGCAACATGCCGAGTCACAAATGTCTTAGCACAGGCTCGCTGATTCCATTGTCCAACACGTTTCTTCATATTATCAGGTTACATTGAGCTCCTGTTTTTCGACCCGGTTTCCGCACCACCCCGGAGAGTTGGCATTTCGTATTAAAGAAATTTATGAATCAAAAGTAAGATATTAGCAGAGTCCTGGACTTTGCCAGAACTACAGGGAACTGGATTCCCCTTTCCTGAGTCCTGACCAATAATGCTTTCCTGAAGACGTAAGTGAATTATATTTGTTGGAACTGACTAGTTGCCCATCATGGTGTTGTCTCCCAAGCGCTTGCAGCCAACTCCGTGAACGGGGCGCAAGTCATTTATTGCGAGTTTAGGCAGACGATTCCCACTATCGAGCCTCCATGACCTGATTCGTCATGCCGATGAGCGAATTTTCCTTGTCGAGAACAACACCAAAGTGTTTCAAGGTGTTGTACCCGAGGATAAAACTGACGTTGTCCGCATCAGCTTGGTTTCCCGAAAACGACGACTTCCGAAACTGAAGGTCTGGCCTTTGCGAGAGGTTTTCAAATGAAGTGCCAATATTGCTAATGGCAAGGTAGCATTTATTCTCGTCGCCCCCAATAGCAGTGTTATTGTCGGCGGGCCACCTGTATACGTCGACGGGGATGGTAATGTTGACGCCTGCCAGTGTCAAAATTATAGGATCCAATGCAGAGCACGACGAAAGAACCGGGAGGCCTGTATTTTCGTCTACCGTTGCTCCTGTTAGATTCAGCAGGTGGTTGAAGCTGCTGGTAGACAGCAACGTTGCCGTAGAGCCATGGTCAATGATGCCGGCTTTGGCTGACAACAAGCTGCTGTCGCCGTAGGCAACGCTGGCATCGAATCCCCAAAAAGTCTTGGCCACTGCGACTTCTGTAATAGGGGCGTACGTGACGTTCGTCAGAGATGTTGAGCCAAAGGTAATGGCTTGTTTGACAATGGTGACAGTTGCGCTTTCAACATGTCCCTGTGAGAATAGGTTATCTGGAACGGTGGGAATCGTCTGGCTTTTATCTGGAGTCAGAGTCCCCAGGGTGAGGTCGGTGGGACCCAAACCAAGAAGCCCGTCAACTTCGGTGACTCCAGTAGTTGTATTTGCCACTCCGATACTCTGATTAAAGGCTGCTCCGCTTATAGTCAAGATGTCGTTGTACTCGAGTCCGGAAAAGCTGCCGGAACCATAGGTTACAGCCACAGAATCAGACGTCTTCTGGCTGGATGAAGTGATAACATATGCCTTCTGAGCACCAATCCATGTATTTGATGAACCCGGGTCAAATAGTAGCGTGTACTGAGTATCAGGCAATCCGATGTCAATGTTCACCGCGCCATGTGTAAACATGTCCGTGATGGGCAGATTGAGCGACGCAAGGGTATCTGAAAAAGTTTAGCCTTTCTGATTTACTACGGGGTGTTACTCAACAAACCTGGAAGTTTGGCCAAGACAGCCATGCCCACGGCAGTCAGACTATTTCTGCCGTGCTTCTTCATTGTGAAAATGAACAATGCAATACGATCCGTGCGCCTAGTCCCTGAGTCAAGGAAACTCTACAGAACGGGCTGGAGTCAATACCGTACGATATATAAGGTGAGACGAATCAACATGCGGATATCGGCCACAGGGGGCAATAATGTGAATGAAGAATCGTCAGAACCAGCGAGATATTGTGATCGGCTTGCCGTTTTCAGGAGGCAGAGATGTCGTGGGCTAAAATTGGCAGGAAACCATTGTGTACACTCGGATTTCACACCCTGTCTTGGAGCAATCGGGGCCATCTTTGTGATGAGACAAGTTTAATTCGCTTGCTGAATCAGCCCTACTATTCTAAGGGGTGGGTATAAAGAACCACCCTTGGTCGTGTTTTCATTTCTTATGTCTGGAATTAATCTTGGTGGACACGCAATGCTGTCGTTCTGGCAGGTTATTGGTAGTCACTCCACAAGCTCGCCAGCATTTGATGAGATTTGGAGACGGTGGCGGGCTGAACTGCGTCGGATGAAGAAACACAGCCAGCCAAAGGTTAAGGCAAAGGCTACCTCATCAAAGGAAGATTTCCACCAGGGTCCAATGCCGACCGAAAATGTGGCCATGTCTCAAGTTGGTGATGAATGTACAGTCTGGCATAATATTACCCATCGAAAAGTATGCACTACGTAACATCACTCAAGTTGATGAATACAATCAAGAAAAATGAGCCAGACAGTCATGTGAGACATCTAGTCACACTATGTTTTAGCCGCAGCTTGGCCTAACCACGCAGCATACGCTTATATATTGTAATACTCCGTATATCAAATTGTATAACGAGATGGCCAGGTACCTGATCTGCATGTGGTCATTTTAATACTTTTTACTTCCACTGTTACATCGCCAACGAGCTCGAAATGCGGCCAACGGGCAAATCAGGGACCACCCCCCTCAAAAGCGAAAGACTTGCAGAGAACATTGTACGCAACCCGACATGACACCTAGGCAGAAATCAAGTCATGGGCCATGGCAGAAAAGCTTTGATGCACAGTCAACATCTCCGGTTTGAGTCGCCGCGATGTACTTGAGAATTTAAGATAATTGATTGAGTGCCTAATGAGTAGACTACAGGTGCTACACCCAGGTGTTCCTGAATCAATATCTAGGATACCATATGTAAACTTGCTATACATCATGTGGATGGATTTCTCTGCATTAGCCGTGTGGTCAATATGCACCAACTGCCTTTAATTACCACGCAAGTCAAGCCAGGAAACAAAAAGGCGCCTCAGGCTGTAGTGTTTATGCGCATCTTCATACACCAATAGTTATCGAAACTGGGAGCACTTGAATGTCGCTAGGCAGTATCAGTTGACGATGAATCCCAGAATTTACAATCTACGGCAAGATAGATCTGCTTTTAAAAATATATATACGAATATACCACGGCCTAATAAAGAGTAGTTGGTGGTCAGGTACTCCGGACTGCCTGGCATAAAGTCCGCATACTGCTCCAGATTAATCTGAATATCTTTGCAATTAGACGCCTAGCATTCTGCTATTTCTCACACCATTATGATTATATTTTCAGTCAGAAAGGAGTGTTTGTCCCTCGTCAAGAACCCTCAGCTCACCAGCACCAATCTCGTAATACAAGTCCCCCAGCAAGGAAACAAAAGTTACCACATCATGATTCAATCTCTGTAATTCATTTTGTCAATCAGCCCACGATACTCACTTCCCCAAAACAACCCTCCTGGCAATGCCCCCGACACGAGCGCCCCCAGAGCCAGACGCATCAACAGGATATTTATCAAGCGGGATCGGATTGTCCGCGTACGCGCGAAGCCTGCCGGCCACCCACTCCCCTGCATTGCCAACAGTCGAGATAATGCCAGTGGTGGAACCTCCTCCAAGCAGGACGGAAAATATACCACGCACCGGAAAGTCTTGGTATGCCGGTTGTGTCAAATCGAACGGCTCGCCGCGCTGCCAGACCTCCCTGGCAGTCTTGGCCTTGATGAGCGTGGCATTGAGCTCCAGGTCAAGCACCGTCGGGTTGATGTTGTCAATGTCGGAACCGACGTCGGCATCGCCCAGCAGGTAGCTGCCTCCGGTGCCCCAGTGCTGCGGATCAAAGTCGCTCGCGACCGCGTCCACGACGAGCGGCGCGTGGCTCGACGGAATCTGCCAGGGCGCCACGGGCACTTGCAGCTCGAGGCCGAGATACCTGACAAAGTCGTAGTAGCGACGCCATTCGTGCGGGCCGTAGAAGTACCCGGGGCCGTAGGCACGCACAGTCCAGTCGTCGGCTTCGTATCGGTCCACGGCGAGGAAGTCGGGCGTGTAGTCGCCGCTGGCGTAGGTGCCGAGTTGCTTGATGTAGTCGGCCGTCTGCTTGGCTTGGTCGAGCGGTTGCTGATCACCAGGCCCCGAGTCGTAGATCCAAGTGGAAGTGCCTCCGCCCCAAATATTGACTTGCCAGCCGAACGTGACGGTGGGTGCAACGGTGCGGACGAGCCAGTTCACGGCCAGAGTGTAGCCGGCAAACGTGTCTTCAATGGAATCGGGAATGGTTGCTTCGACATTCCAGTGGTCAAGGGCGCCTTGTAATGGTTCTTTGACGGGCATGGCGTAGTCGACCAGATTCTCCTTCTGGCCCTCTCCGAGGAAGTCGGCGTTGACAATGAAGCCCGCGGGCACGGGATGGTCCTGGTCGATGAAGGTGTTGGATATATTGAGTGCCAGAATGAGATTGGCGAAGCTGTGCATGAGGCCAGTCGTGTCCTGCAGCTTCTTGTAAATATCGCCCAGAGAAAGGTTGACCGTGTAGGAAATCATGATGGGCAGTACGGAGCTCCCGTCTCCGAGTTTAGCCTCGATGTCGCGCGCGAGTTGAATAGTGCGCCTGGTGGCAGGATCGTCTGTCAAGAAGGTACCGCTGTCGCCGGCACCGTCGTTGCCGGCATACTTGAAGACGGACGAAGCGCGTGCTGCGACAAAGTCATCTGCGTTGCTTGGAGTCATGTCTGCGAGACCGCCGAAACTCAAGACGTCGGGGAAACCTTTGACGTGGAGATTGGCTCCTTTAACCAGCTCCAGATTGAGCTGTGTGCTACCGTCTTTCGCAACCGTCAACGTGTTTGGGCCGTTGACAGCATAGACGGTTCCGCTTATGACGAAGCTGTAGTCTTGAAGTTGGTACTCTCCCGGAGCCACAGGTACCGAGAACGGCGTGGTGCCTGCCTTGGCTGGAACTTTTTGGGTGTAAATGAGCTCATCTGATGCGATGCGGACCGTGATATCCTTATCCGGTGCGACATCTGATTCCATCACAATAGGCAGTTCAACAAAGTCTGTGGTATCGACGGGCGAAGTTGTGACATCACTTTGGCCAAAGGTGACGTTGAAAAGTTGGGCAGCGAGATCCAGACTCTTGGTAGAAAACTCGTATTGAACATTGTTTAGTGTAATGACATGAATGGAAACTTCGACTGTCCCCGAGTCGGGAAGTCGCCGCAGTGACGTTGTCTCGTTGTCTTTGGTGTAAAAGTCGATGAATTGGCTGCCGTCACGAGTCAGGAACACATGGAGCATCTCAGACTCGAGAGACGGAATGTCTCCAATCGATACATCTATGGCGCTGTAAGTTTGGGCTGGGCTAAAAGTGACCTCGACAGCAACTTCTTCGCCAACGTTGACGGTGAAAGAGCTGGGCGAAACCTCGGACTTCGCGACAACGGTTTGGTCCACAGTCGTGAGCTCTGAGCTCGACCCAATGTATTCGCCGTACGGAAGTTTAACCAACGTCGTCGTCCCAGGCAGTGCGCTAGCAGTGAAGTTTCGTGAGCCTTGTGCAAACGACAAGGTCACCTCTTCGGGCTCGAGCGCTGGATTCGGGGCATCTGCGGTTATAATCACAACAGTCCCGTTGATGTCAGGGACCGAATCGGCGGCGAGACGAACAGAGTCGGTGTAGGGCTCCGTATTATCTCTCAAGTCGCCGTTGATGCCGATTGTTATTGTGTCTGTTGTGTTGAACTTGTAGCTCTTTTCGAATTCGAGTTTTGCCGAGACAAGATACGTCGATGCGTCAATTGGGTCATTGGTGACTTCTGCCGTAACAGCCTGCCAAGGATTTACAGCTAGGTTGAAGGCTTTGTCGTCCACAGCGGCGGGAGATTTGAATGAGATGCCGAGGAACTTGTCGATGGCCACTTGACTACCATCATCGTACTTGATGCCTTTGACGATAAGTGTGCCATACCATTCAGTTGGGTTTGGTCCAACTTCTACGGTGCATGTGATGCTCATGGCTGCGGGGGTGAAGGCGTTTGGGAAAAGAATTACGAGGGTAGTGCTACTGCTACTGTGAGCAGGAAAGAAATGGGAAAGGAGTCGTGTTGGTTTTCGAACCCAGGCGGTGAAGAGAAGACGTCTGGTCGTCGTCTTTAAATATCCAACCAATCTCGGCGCACGTGACAGCCAGTCTTTAAGAATCGAGAGTCACTTTTCAAGAGCCATTCAACCATGCATATCTTGAGGGAGCTATCAAGTTCCATCGTCACCACCATCCTGCAGACCATTGTGCCATTGTGTCGTCACACCAAGACATCTGTCATCTGTCAAATGGACTTTTGTCTTCAACCGAGGCTTTTGAGACATGAATCGTGTCGACGCCTACTCTTCTGTTGGACATCCATCGACTGCTGCCATGTTGCGCAGATACGAACCTCTCATCTGTGCGGGCGTACAGGGTAGATGAGTCGACTACTGCTTGACCTGGATTGTCCACTGCTGAGTTATGATAAGTCTTGCATGCAGTCGTAGCAGGATGGGTTACACATGTGTCTGGTGACTCTGCGGCTTCCCCCAGACGGCTGACCTTGCTTGTCTGTCCGTCTCTCGCCCTCGCTCTCGCACAAATATAAATTCATTACATGAAAGAATAATTCTATATTTTGTGACAGATGGTCATTGACGTCGACAAGTATATTGACACCACGACACGGCAAAAAGCTCGAAACACAAGAAAACATGTGCTGCGAGGTGACGTGATACACCCTCGACTCTCTACAGCTTGCAGTTGTGACATTGTAAGGCCCAATTGCACCATACGCTGAGCGACATCATATTACTATCTATGCCGCTGTTGACGAATAAAGAAAATGGGTAGCAGGGACATGGACTACTATCTTCTCATCATCACCTACTTGTGGACGTGTCTCAAGCAGGGTCGGGAGCCGATCAACCAATGACGAAAATGTTCGTTACCTTGTTTCACATACAATTTATCAGCAATCTAAGTAGTGCAAGCCAGAAAGGCTTCTATTTCCGGAATTGCAACGGAGTTGAGGTTGATGGCCGATGAGCACGTACGGGTACGTCTCTTTTTTTCGACAAATATTGTTGAAAAGGAAGATGGTATTTCGTACCATCACTCTATTTCCGCCGCTATTCATCCCGAGAAGAGCCGAAATATTCCGGCCTGAACAAGCGTTGCATTGTATGGCTGGCCACAGCATATTGCTCTGCATATGACTCGTCTCACAACCTCGCCTGCATGTCCTGCTTCTTTTTCAGCCTGAAACCCCTCACACCAGTAGCGGCGGGGTCTCTTCAGCTACACATTTATACATTCTACATGAGTCAGACGCCGCGGGGATGTCTTAGGTAGTATTCCGCAATGCTGCCTTTGGACGGTGGCGGCATCTATACTGCCTGGCATGCAGACCTGGCGTTCAGATGTGTCACAGCACTTGGAGACTCTCCCTCCGGCTTAGAATCCGCAACAAGGGCATTAAGCTATCGGTGGTCGTGTAACCAATAGATTAGATGGTATCCTTGCACACAGTCTGCCCTGATTTTGCAGAAGTTAAAACACAGGCCGCAGCTCGAATCACTGCGCGTAAAGGGCATCTGAAAAGAAGTATATTCGATACAGGACTCGTCGTTGCCGACAATTGGCCTCTTCCTTGTTACACGCCATATATTTATTTATAATGAAATCTCCTACTCGCACCAAATGTCAACCCTTACACCGCTCAGGTGTTGTAAAACTTGATAATCCAGGCCGGGCTGCTTCACGCATATAATGATGGCGTCAAATGTTTCCAAGTTTTTCTGGTTCCATTCCGCTTCACTCAGCCGTGTGACGTGAGGCAGGTCCTCTTGTGAGACAAGAGGATCGGCAAAGCTCACTTCAACCTGTCCTTGCTCATGCAGCGCGTTCAAGAGCGCCACGCCGGGGGAATAACTCAACACTGACTGACCGGCCTTGAAGCCCACGCCCACAACAAGGACTCGACCTTTCTCTACGCCATCCACGGTAGCTGAAAGCTTCAAATCCTCCACAGTTCGCCTGGCAATCTGTGCCGGGCGGGCGGCCATGGCCTCCGTGGCGGCCTGCAAGAGCGGAAAGGAGCTATTAGATAATAGATAGTAAGGGTTTACGGGGATGCAGTGACCACCAACGCCCACCGACGGTGAGAAGGGCGCATATCCGAAGGGTTTAGTGGCGGCGGCTCTTGAAACCTCATATGGATCAATGCCGTGCGACAGAGCGGCATCAGCCATCTCATTCACAAAGGCTATACACATCATCCGTTGGCAGTTCTCGTAGAGTTTAGTCATCTCCGCCACCTCGGGGGAAGAAACCGGGACCAGCCTGCTGAATACTTGTCCATATGCCTGCTCGATGGAGGCGAGGGAGCCCGGCACCGCGTCGTCAAGTCCAGATATAATTTTGGGAATGCTCGCGCACGGGGGATTCGTGCGGCCAGGGTCCACGCGCTCCGGAGACATGCCGGCATACAAGCCGTATGAGACGGCAATAGGGCCGAGGAGGCTTCTCGTCATGCCGACGGCTACAGAGCTCTCTAGGACAACAGTCGAGCCCTGCTGAGCAACTGTGGCCACGGTGTTGATGGCGTCCTTGATATGTGTTGTATTGATGGATGCGTCTGCGTTGACCAGAGTGGGCACGGATATCAGAAAGTGAGTAGCCTGCTTCATGTCCATCGGACACGTCGTGTACTTGACATTGGCGCCGCTGGATAGCTCACGTCTTGCGGAACGGAGCGTCGCAGACGAGATGTCGTAGGCAATGACCTTGAACTGGGTCGAAAAGGACTGCACGAGCCGCCTCCCGACGTAGCCGACTCCGACGACGGCCACGACAATCTCTGCTTCCCGAGGTCCTTTGGTGTATTGCTGTAGCCGCACGTCGGCGGCCTCGGAACAGCGAAGCAGAACCTCGGTGGATGGAGAGATTGGGATCGGCGCGGGCATTGTTTCTGATGTGAGCGTCTCAGACTATGTTCACTTTGGTGTGTATCTTTTCGAAAGCGGCAGTCTTGTGTTCCAAATTCAAGTCAGCTTGCAGTGTCCACTGCCGGAGTAAAAGCCACAACCGTAGAAATCTTACCAAAATTATATTTGACTGGCGAAATGTGAAGGAATCGCTCTTTCCGCGGTGACACAACACGAAATGTAGAGTTATTAAATTGCTTGGCGAATGTTTTGATTGCGATATAGCACAAAAAGGGAGCCTTGACCGCATCTTGGACTTTATAGATTGGCGACGCCCGCAACGTTTGGCGAAACCGAACTATTGGACAATAACGAAATACACCAAAGCTCGCCCGAATCCTTCTGAGGCGGGTCATATCTGACGATGTCATTAAAACGCGATGCCAGGATCACGGTGGCTAGATCTCCGGTAGCGATCAAGCCCAGTCGCCCATGTTGCCTGGATAAGGTAAGCGCATCGCCCAGGCTTCAAATTGGAATGAGGGAGAGCGGATTCGGATAACCTGTGCAAGAAGCGTTCTTGGCAATGCTCTGCGTGAAGCGCAACCGACCAAAGTCGTACGACTAATATAACCTCACTTGGAGCGGCGTTACGAGTCAGGCCCCGAAACGAGATTATCTTTCGCGCCCAGCCGTCGCGGTAAAGCCGTGCCAGTAAAGCCGGTCCCAACGCAAACGGTCTCTCCAAGGGAGGGCCGGCGCAGAAAATTTCCACGAAGGGATAGAGTATGCAAGGGAGATAGGACCCTGATGTGGAAACAAGTCGCCCGGACATGGTCATACGACATATGTGCCTGAGATATAGCATATAACTAATGTTATATATGTCGCCGACTACCTATCATTCGCCCTCATACGAAGCCAACTACGGAGTAGCCATAGTTCAAATATCTGACTCAAAATGAGGCACTCCATGTCATTGCTAGATCGTTGCTAGACCTTTTCTTCCTTGTTTCTCTTTGATGGTTTCCACTCGCCAGCTTCTGAATAGGCGCGATATAGTGCCTCAAAGACGTTGCCATGTCTTCAGCAACTCCCAAGTTAGGCAGAGAAAGCTGTGAGCAAGATGAGTCTGAGTTGCGCGTGACACGGCCGCAAGCTGCCGTGTTGCCGTGTGAAAAGTCGCAAGATTCGCCGCTCCTTTCCGACAAAGACTCAACTCACGGCCCTGATGGCGGTGGTGTTCTTGCCTCGAGTGAGATTTTTACTGCCAAACACGACCATGATGCGCGTACCTCTTCCGAGGACAGAGTCGAGCACGTCCAGCCATGGCCGCAGAAACCCAACCAGGCGAAATACACCGACTTTAAACCCTTCCACGCCACGTCGTCAAATTCGCCGCGCTACATGGTCAGGAATATCATGAATAAGACGAAGAAACTGCCCTTTGAGCAACCAACCCTCGATGATGCCGAATTCGAGACACTGACAAGGCTCATGGACGACAAGCAGAAACACACGGTACCTAGTTTCAAAGCAAAGATGGCCTTCAGGGCATTCTACTTCTTACTCCTCGCCGCGCTCATCTACTTCGTCCTCGTCGGCTGGCCCCTCTGGCCCGGCACCGTGGTCTGGTTCTGGCGCTGGTACCAAGGCCAAGTTGGCCAGCATCATATCGCGGGCCTTGTCGCCTTTCTCGCCGCGGGCATGATTCGCAATATCCTGCCCCAGTTTCTCTGCACGTTCCAAGTCTCCCGGCAAGAACCAAGGGAAGCCGAGGAGCAGGCCGTGTCCCAGTGCTGCGTCATCATCCCCTGCTACAAGGCGGCCGAGACGCTACGCACCACGCTGCCCGCGTGCCTGGCGATATTCAGCCCCAAGCAAATCTTCGTCGTGGCCAACGGCAACTCGACTGTCCCGCTGGACAACACGGCCGATATATGCGACGAGTTTGGCGTGCGGCACTTTTGGCTCCCCGTCGGCAGCAAGATTACCGCCGAGTTTGTCGGCGTGACGCTGGGCAAGGAGTTTCAGTACTGCCTCCTGATAGACGACGACGTCCT